CTCCAGAGTCCAATGGTGTCAAGCTTTACACCACTCCAGCCAACGCTTGGCATTGCGCATGGTGATCTTAGGCTTGTGTGCGGCTGCTTGGCCATGGAAACCCATGTCATGAAGCTCCCAACGAACAGTTATTGTGCTGATGTTGCTTCCAGAGGCAGTATGGAAATCGGTAGTGAGTGTTGCAACCTAGGAGGTCCTGTTCTGTGAGCATGTGTGGCCTACCACTTTGCGAGTGAGACGTTGTTGCTCCTAGATGTTTCCACTTCACAATAACAGCAGTTACAGTTGAACGGGGCAGCTCTAGCAGGGCAGAAATTTGACAAACTGACTTGTGGGAAAGGTGGCATCCTATGACGGTGCCACGTTGAAGGTCACTGAGCTCTTCAGTAAGGCCATTCTACTGCCAATGTTTGTCTATGGAGATTGCATGGCAGTGCACTCGATTTTATACACCTTTCAGGAAAGGGTGTGGCTGAAATAGCCAAATCCACTAATTTGAAGGGGTGTCCACATACTTTTGTATATATTGTGGATATGGGTATTTTCTAGTGAATGAGAGGGTGATGTCACAAGACACAACTAAGTCACCATGTTTGGTAACACGCTATACGGTTTGACTCTGACATGATGTACGCATTATACTGTGGTTAGAAAAACAATGCTTGTGTCATAACATTCAATGACAATTACTACCAGCTGTAAGACTTCCTGTTGATGAGTGCATGATAAAAATATTTATTCTCATAACAGTCTTATGACAGGGTTATAGTAGGCCTGTCACTAGTCACTCCAGAGATGTGTTGCATCATTCTACTGTTATGACAGCCCAATGGTATTGACAGGTCTCTTGAGTTACCGAAGTATTTTTTTTACCGTATTTTTTAAAGAATAAAGGAAGCCTAAAACAAAACACCCAAATCTATTTCCAGAAAAGGAAATGTGGCTGTACAGTATGCAAAAAAAGCCCAATAAATCTATATATGGACTGATATGTAGTAGGCCATACCACTACTAAATCTCTAAGGCCTCTGGCAGGTTGAAAAAACAGAGCCCTGCCTGGCTTTAACTTCCTGATTTCCACAGGAGCCAAACGTCTTGTTTCCATTAGAGAGCATCTGTAACGGCCTCGGAGTCGACCTGGAAGGAGCTCCTGCACAAGTTAGTTATTTAAGGAGGCCGAGCCGTATCACATGGGCCTTACATGACAGTCTTGTAGTCTGATCCTCCCCTCCAACTCCCCTCCTGTCTCCTCCCTCCAGAAACAGAAACATCTGGAAATTAGGAATCAAATTCGCCTGGACCTGGAGGAGGAAATGAAGCTGCTGGGTTATGGATTAGTGTTGGGCTGGGGACAGAGAGAGAAGCATCAGAGAGTGCCCATTTGGCCAGCTCTCAGGGGTGTCACACTCAACTTCTTCATAGAGGAAGCACTAAAGAAGGCTCTAATAAACCGGCAAGCGGGGAAGCCAAGACTTCCTGTGAGCTCAGTCAGCTGGCCAATGAAGAGGATGTGTAGAAGGGTGGAGTAGCTTTTTTTTTTTCATACAGCGCAAAGGCAGGATGTCTTATGTAATTTGGCAGATTTATTCATTGTGACATCAAGTTGGGGCCACTATAGGCTACCGTTCTAGGCCCCAGGGAAGGGACAGTGTTGAGTATTTTACTATTACTTACTCTGCTGGCCAAGTACAACAATAGCTTCAGTCACACAGAGCCACTGTCATTCCTTCGCTGCATTTCCAAAACAAAGAAACAATGTAGTGTTTTAGCCCAATGAAAAGGCTTTGAAATTCAAATAATCTTGGTAGGCTATCTATTCCAAAAATTCAACCCTATTTGATTTACCCAAGCTGCCGTTCGTGAGGAAAATATTGTATTGACTGAGTAAGCAACAGACTTGATAAACTGTGGGGCCCCATGTCTCTATGGGAGTCTCTCACAAGTCGTTCTGCATATGGTTCAAGTTCAAGTCAGGCCTGTTCAAGAAGGAATGCTCATCAAAATAAACTCCCAGCCGACTCTCTCTTTCTCTCTCTGACAGTTGGAGAGTTTGAGGAAGGAGGGGGTGTTACCTAGTTGTTAGTTTGTTCGTGTGTTGTGTCAAGCTGCGGGAAAACTGAACAAACAATGTTATTCGTTCTGCACATAAAACCATAGCGATGGAGGTGATATGACTTGCAAAACATGAGTCTGATGACCTCGATAACAGAGCACCATGAGCTTTCCTTTGTTCATGGTAATGCAAACATTGTGTGTTGTAAAGATACCTTTCTGAATTAAAAGAGTGTTGTAAAGAAGTTTGTTTGCAGTGGTGTAAAAACTACTGAACTGTCATACTTGAGTAAAAGTAAAGATAACATTTTATTGGTCACATACACATATTTAGCAGATGTTATTGCGGGAGTAGCGAAATGCTTGTGTTCCTAGCTCCAACAGTGCAGTAGTATCTAACAATTCACAAAAATGCACAAATCTAAAAGTAAAATAATGGAATTAAGAAATATATAAATATTAGGACGAGCAATGTCGGAGTGGCATTGACTAAAATACAGTAGAATAGAATACAGTATATACATATGAGATTAGTAAAGCAATATGTAAACATTATTAAAGTGTCTAGTGATTCCATGTCTGTGTATATAGGGCAGGGTGTTTAAATATCAGTTTGTTTGTTGGTGAGGGGCTCATGAACTGTGCTGAGACACCTCACTGCGTACAGTCAGGGTGGAGTTTAAAAGTAAAGGAAATACCCTTTGACTTTAATTGCTTTTTCAAGGCCTGTGTGTGTAACACTGCAGGGTCAATGTGTACTGAGTCAATGGTCTAATTACTTTTGGCCATCTTTCCGATGTGTGAAAAGCAACAAGTAGGTTCTATGTAAAATGATTTGTGGCATTGGTGGTTTGTCTCAAAAGTTAAACGTTGGAGTAAAACATGTTTATTTCCAGTTGGATGGTGATAAAGAAACAGTATAGCATGTGCTTTTATGGCTTGCTAGTCTAGACAGTATCAAATTATTTATCTAAACCAAAGGTAGAAAAGAAAATGGAGTAAATGAAAACCTTGGAGTACAACATATTCCCTCCTTCACATTGTCCTGCTTGGCGGACATTAAAAGCATGATTGGATGGAATATTTGAGGTCCAAAGCAATTTCCCTTGAAAATAACAAGTTCACCATGTGGGAACCAGAGATGTTTGCAAATGGACCAGGGAGGCAGGATGGTTCATTTATTATGTGTATATCTACAGATTATTTTAAATGAGTACATCTGAGATATGCCCCCTTTTCAAGTTAGTCAACCTAATCTTAGAAAATACACTAACTTAGAAAATGTGGTGTTTACTAGAGAAGATATGGTGAGTAAAATGGCAGAATGTCTTCCAAAACATTGGTCTAATTTCAGAGAACACAAAGTGATGGATGTTAATACAGTTTCCTTTTCAGGGATGAAGCAAAAATGATTCCTTGAGTTTTATACTATTGACAGTGAGACAGTATAGCTGGGAACTTACTAACATAAGTGCTTTTTAAAGTATACAGTGCAGATAGATACCAATAATTATAGTCATTAGCGAAGTGGTTCATTGAATATGTAAAAGGTATTGTATTCCTATCCTTTTCATTTAGGAAACAGTCATTCCATTTCCTTAATAAACATAACTTCGATATGCCTTTAATTTCTCTGTGATAAGCATCTTAAAGAAATCAGTATGGGAACGTAGATGTGTTTAGCCAAGATGAAAAAAAATGCAAAGTTCCTGCCAATCACTTGACCATAGTGGTGTCCCCACAACCAAAGCAAAACCCTTCCTGTCACATGATACAACTATTCATATTCTCCACACACCATGAATGAAACATATTTTAGCAGATGAACATCCTCTAGTCCAACGTTTCCCAAACTCTGTCCTTGGGACCCCAAGGGGTGCACGTTTTCGTTTTTGCCCTAAAACTACAGCTGATTCAAATGATCAAAACTTGATGTTTAGTTGATTATTTGAATCAGCTGTGTAGTGCTAGGGCAAAAAACAAAACGTTCACCCCTTGGGGTCCCGAGGACCAAGTTTGAGAAACCCTGTAGTGCAATACTAGAGCAGACAACATCTGCAAAATATGTAAATGGACTACTGTTATAAGAGGGAAAAATAATCATCAAGCAAAATACTGTTTCATTTTATTTAATAAGCTGGTCATAAATTATCACACATAAAATATTATTTTCAATAGTTACAAAGTGGACAGCAACTTCTGGTAGCGGCTCAAAAAACAAGAGGGGGGTAGTTTTCAGGAGTTTCAGTTTCATCTGACGACACAGGGTTTGAACAGCTGGGGGAGGGGGGGGGGGTCTTCAAACACTGTTGACTAGCATCCTGTTAAGCAGAGGGTAGCCATTCACCCGACTAGCAGCAGCAAACACAATGGTGAAAGATGCGGCTCCAAACCACACAGTGAAAACAAAGAGGGGGGGATGCTGTACTCGTATGTCAATGTGTTTGAAAATAAGAGAAAATGGGAGAAGGATGGGGAGGATGTATGACAAAAAACTATGACACCACAACGTGCGGGGGCGTATCGGAGAAGAGTCAGAGAAGACTTCATCAGATGAAGTAGCAGCATCTCCTTGGCTTTACCATTGGGGAGAGACGCAACGTGGAGCTACGAAAGCGGCTGAGAGACGATAGGGGAAGGCTTCAAGGGATCGAGCTGGTTGAAGAATCAGCTTGTTCAGAGCGCACAACTTGATCTGCGAGTCCAACGGCTGATTCCTTCACTTCAACTCCGGAAGTCATCTTCACTGTCACTGTTTTTCCTTTTCTTTCTGGTCCTTCCACCAGCCTCCCCCTCCCACGGTCATATGCCGTGGTTGACCAGAGAGCTAGGGGTTCGTTGGTGTTGGGGTGGTGGCGTTGTCCCTCGGTGGTCCTACTACCTCACTACAGTCAGTAGTGTTATGTTTATCATGTGCCACGTTCAAGGGGCCTTCTGCTCAATGTGTTCTACTTAGACATCTGTTGCTGGATGTGGAGCAGGAACTCGTAGTAGGAGAGGGCCGACTCTGACCGGTCCTCTACCAAGTGCTGGAAAAAGCTGGTCTTAGCTGAAGCATCGTCCCTATAGGGAGAAGTAATTAAATGAATGAGCATGTGCAATAAGAATGAGACCATAGTCTGCATAAAATGTACAGTCTATTGAAATTACTTTGATGCTCTAAAAGCTTATTTGAATTTGTAAGACTTCCTTTCGGAATAAAACTATTCTCAAATGGCCTCTTCGTGTTCATAAGACTTCCTTTTGGTATGAAGGATTGTCCTGTGGTCCTTAGACATTGGTAGGAAACAGATCCTCACAGCAACCTGTCATAGTGCAACGATGCACCAGCATGATGTTAGAATGAACTAAAACCCAAACAAACGCTCACTATAGGGGGCCTCAATCCTAGCCGTCCATCAATGACCTTCGCAGTGGCTGCATGTTTACATTGAACATACAGTACCTTTCTTACCACATGAGAAAACTGATGGCTTGCTACATGACATGGACCAAGGCACTTAATTTGCAACGCACACACCAATTAAATCAGACCAGGGGCACTTGACTTACTTCACGACGTGAAGAGTTGAGCTGAAGGTTCTCGAGTCCTGTAGCCAGGCGAGGAGTGCTCGCAGTCGTTCAGACAGAGGGGTTTCCAGCTCAGGAATTTGGGTCTGGTATTCATAAAGAGAAGCGGAAAAAAGATCCACCTCATTGTTTTTACTACTGCTGCACCCTCATGAAAGACTGTGTGTGTGTGTGTACAGACTCCAGAGAACTAGTGGTTGGTTTCAATGCTAGATCTTCACGTCTCGTGTGTGTGTGGTTTAGTGAAATATGTATGTGTGGTTTGGAATGTGAAGTTTGTACATGGTTTTGGGAAGTTTTGCTTCCTTCCTGAAATATGGAATCAAAAACAAAACCTTGATAATTAATACCCGTGGTCGGTTGTTGTAACACACCCACGTTGTGTGGTATGATACATTATTTGAGGTAGCCACGGCTATTCGTCAAAAAGTAGAACCAAACAAATTATTGAATGTTGAATGACTCCCTAGCTGAACTGACTGAGTACACACAATTGGCCCAGCGTCGTCCAGGGTAGGGGAGGGAATGGCCGGCAGAGATGTAGCTCAGTTGGTAGAGCATGGCGTTTGCAACGCCAGGGTTGTGGGTTCGATTCCCACGGGGGGCCAGTATGAAAAATTAAAAAATAATGTATGCACTCACTAACTGTAAGTCGCTCTGGATAAGAGCGTCTGCTAAATAACTAAAAATGTAAATGTACAGTACTCTCTCATTGTGAAGCACCAGCTGGAGATAAAACACTGAGTTATACACAGCAATAGATATGTCACGTTGTGTCTAATGAATGTTTGTGCCTCACTAACCATGTTAGGGGGTATAGAAGCATGGTTTGGGCATCCCAACACCTCCCGAATGAACATATCATTACAGCATTTCCCAATCCACAAGTAAAATACCTGGAGAAGAGAACAGAAAGGCAGTCAATGTAGTATACATTGGGACAGTAACTAGGATCTTTGTTAAAATACATTATTCTTTCCACCATTCCCTTCTTTGAAGTAATAACTGATCCATACGTGATTGGATATGTGAAAGTGGAGTTACTACCAATACTGCCTTCACCTATCCAACCTAGTCAGATCTGTTATTATCATGGAGGAACGGATGGAAGAATGCATTGCTAAAGTCTTCAAACAGAGACAAGGTACGTTTTACAGGGACTTTGGTCATATGAGTGCGAGCATAGCAGGACTTACACTGCCACAGTCCATGAGGAAAGCTCCTTCTCTGGTCAGCTTCTCAGCCGTGAGGTGCAGCAGATGGGGCTGGGGCACTATGCAGTCATTCAGGTGGAGCGCCCCCTGTGGACAGAAAAGGTAAGGCAGTATACGTATTAGTATACTCGTGACCATCCCAGGTGAACAAAACCAATGTTTCTAGCTGTGAACCAGTCTAATGCTGCAAATACATAACAAATCAGTATCGGTGCTCCATTATGGAATCACTGTATCTAAGAACTGAACCACAAACGGTTTTCACTCATTTGCTATATGCAGGGTGGGAAATAAACACCTGCCACCCAAGGGTCGATTTTGGCATTGGCAGGTAACAATGTCTATTTCACCAGCCACGTTGGCTACAGAGCATTTGGGAACAGTATTTTTCAATCCAAAGTCCAAATGTAGAAGTTGGTCGAAGTGTGCCTTTGTCCTTGTGCTTCTTGGTTAGTTACATAGTTTTGTTCACATGCTAGATTGTTTTTCAATATTAGTTAGAGTTTGCTGCAACTGTCTGGTGCTAGCAGAGATTCTCATCTCTGACAGAGATTGAGTGTCCCCTTACCACGTTAACGGCCCGCCCTTTAAAGTAGATTTGTTATAAAAAAATGCACATAATGACTCAAATATTTGGGGGTACATTGTGCTTGATTGAGCATGAAACGCTCCCAAAAACGTTTATTCATGAACTTTTAGTAATTTCTTATAATTAAAACACCAAACACAAAAGGGGACCATCGCGCTCTCCCAGAAGTTCGGTTGCTCGTAAAACCTGTACATTTAGATAAGCCTAAAAGTGTGATTGGTCCGCACTCCAAAAATGGGTGGACCACCCATACACAAAAAAAATGTATGCACGCATGACTGTAAGTCGCTTTGGATAAAAGCGTCTGCTAAATGGCATATTATTATATCGCATAAAGCTTACTACAAATGTTTTCTTCATTATTTTCACTGCATCAGGGATTGTGAACACAGACGTTTCGGCTTGCAGCCTTCTTCAGTGTGTAGGTCATCATCATGGATAGAAGACTCAGGCAATATACCACATTACTACCACATTACTTCTAACTAGTAATACATTTCTTGTTTTAGAAACATTACAAAGCATGGTCATCCGTTATTTGTGATTTTTGGTATAATAAAGGCGAAAACATATGTGGGCTGGATTTTTCATCTACCTGCCACAGTTGCTGGTGGACCAAAAAGTTAATTTCTCACCTGTGTAGCTCATAACACCAGAGGTCAGTGGAGAGTTGCTCTTGGATCAGTTGTTAAAAGCAGAGTGTCGGTGTGATCTCTCACCTGGTCTGACATGGTGTCCAGGCGGTAGAGGTCGGGGTGGACCATGCGCATGATCTGCTGCAGCGGCTGGCTCTTGAACTCACACATGGCGAAGACGCGCTCGTCTAGCTTCGTGCTGGTCCCTATGCGCAGTGCTTTCTGTTGGGTGGAGAGGAAGGGGAAAGGAAGAGGAGAAGAGGAACACAGATTCATGAGAAGGGATGGCATTGACAGCTTCCTTCTAACTTAACTAGTGACTGAGATAAACAGTACATTCAAAATCTCCTCTGGCCAAAAGGACTAGGTATGTGTAAAGGCAATTTCAACTGTCCAAAACTGAAGATGAAGCATCCCAAATGAAAATAGGCCCACTTGTAATTATTTTTGTAAAAAAGTAATATGCCAACATGGCTCTACTCTAGGACCTAGGTCATTCACAGTGATTTGAAAGGCTAATATGTGTACTACTGAAATAGATCAACTTAGCCAGAAATTCACATTCAAATATTTGCCTCTACAAAAGCCAACCTTGGAATAATATTCAAATCTACTTTGCATAAATGTACAAAACATCAATAAATTACCCTACATGTCAAAGTGTCGGTGATATGCGTATTGGCTACAGCCTCATGTCCACACCGATGCTGACATGAGGGAGGCTCCAGAAAATGACTTTTAATTACATAAATATAGGCTCAACGCCAGTCATGTTTGACAAATACAATGTAGGCTAATTAACATTCTCTAAAGGCTTGACTCCGTCGACACGAGGCACAGTTCGTTCAGATCAAATGGTCAAGAGTGGAGAGAAAGGACAGCGCCTGTTTCACACCATCCACCTTGCAATCTGAGCGCATTTTGTTTTTATATTTAACCATAAACGTACTTATTTAAAATGTAATAACTTAATTGTTAGATGTAATAACTTATTATATTTATAACTTATTTACTGAATAAATTTTTTGGGGTGCAACCAAATAATGGGCTGGTGCCACCAACTGAAAAAGTTAGTGGCACCAGTGCCCTGTAATGTGAATAAATAATAGTTGACCAACATGTTAAGCTTTCTGATATGTTGCATCAGCATCATTGGTTAAATGATTTTGGGGGTTGTATGAATTTTGGATCTATCGTTCCAGAACTGTCCCAGAGTCCAGAGTCTATTTTTTATTGTCCCCGGGACGGCCTTGGATAGGAAAGTGTGTGTGTGTGTGTTGGGGCATGGGTATTCAGTTGAAGTCGGAAGTTTACATACACTTAGGTTGGAGTCATTAAAACTCGTTTTTCAACCACTCCACTAATTTCTTGTTAACAAACTTTGTGCATGACAAGTAATTTTTCCAACAATTGTTTACAGACAGATTATTTCACTGTATCACAATTCCAGTGGGTCAGAAGTTTACATACACTAAGTTGACTGTGCCTTTAAACAGCTTGGAAAATTCCAGAAAATGATGTCATGGCTTTAGAAGGTTCTGATTGGCTAATTGACATCAGTTGAGTCAATTGGAGGTGTACCTTTGGATGTATTTCAAGGCCTACCTTCAAACTCAGTGCCTCTTTGCTTGACATCATGGGAAAATCAAAAGAAATCAGCTAAGACCTCGAAAAAAATGTGTAGACCTCCACAAGTCGGGTTCATCCTTGGGAGCAATTTCCAAACGCCTGAAGGCACCACGTTCATCTGTACAAACAATAGTACGCAAGTATAAACACCATGGGACCACGCAGCCATCATACCGCTCAGGAAGGAGACGCGTTCTGTCTCCTAGAGATGAACGTACTTCGGCGCGAAAAGTGCAAATCAATCCCAGAACAACAGCAAAGGACCTTGTGAAGATGCTGGAGGAAACAGGTACAAAAGTATCTATATCCACAGTAAAACGAGTCCTATATCAACATAACCTGAAAGGCTGCTCAGCAAGGAAGAAGCCACTGCTCCAAAACAGCCATAAAAAACTCTGACTACGGTTTGCAACTGCACATGGGGACAAAGATCATACTTTTTGGAGAAATGTCCTCTGGTCTGATGAAACAAAAATAGAACTGTTTGGCCATAATGACCATGTTTGGAGGAAAAGGGGGTTGCTTGCAAGCCGAAGAACACCATCCCAACCATGAAGCACGGGGGTGGCAGCATCATGCTGTGGGGGTGCTTTGCTGCAGGAGGGACTGGTGCACTTCACAAAATAGATGGCATCATGAGGAAGGGAAATTATGTGGATATATTGAAGCAACATCTCAAGACAAGAAATGGGTCTTCCAAATGGACAATGACCCCAAGCATACTTCCAAAGATGTGGCAAAATGGCTTAAGGACAACAAAGTCAAGGTATTGGAGTGGCCATCCCAAAGCCCTGACCTCAATCCTATAGAACATTTGTGGGCAGAACTGAAAAAGCGTGTGCGAGCAAGGAGGCCTACAAATCTGACTCAGTTACACCAGCTCTGTCAGGAGGAATGGGCTAAAATTCACCCAACTTCCTGTGGGAAGCTTGTGGAAGGCTACCCGAAATGATTGACCCAAGTTAAACAATTTAAAGGCAATGCTACCAAATACTAATTGAGTGTATGTAAACTTCTGACCCACTGGGAATGTGATGAAAGAAATAAAAGCTGAAATAAAATCACTCTACTATTATTCTGACATTTCACATTCTTAAAATAAAGTGGTGATCCTAACTGACCTAAGACAGGGAATTTTTACTGGGATTAAATGTCAGGAATTGTGAATAACTGAGTTTAAATGTATTTGGATAAGGTGTATGTAAACTTCCGACTTCAACTGTATATACAAAAACCCGGGATGTGTTTGTGTGTACAGTCCTGTCTGCAGGCTGTGTGTGTGGCGCACAGACTGACCTGTTTGAGTAGTGCCAGCACGTAGAGGGGGAAGAGACACAGGGCGGCAGGGGCGATGAGACCAGACTGCTGGATATTTGATACAGTGTTCTTGTACGCACTCAGAGAGTCCACCACCGCATTCACCAGGGCATCCCGGGCATCCGCCAGGCTTGACGATATCGACCGGTCAATGGCTGTTCATAGAAATTAAAATAGAAATGAATGAATAAATACAAATTCAGGTCCCATGAACAAATAGTGTGTGTGTGTGAGATATATACACACACTCACCCATGTTGGCTAGGAGGCAGGTGATGGCCTGAACATCAGCCCCGGCATATACATCACTAAGCTGGCTCACCACTGGCAGACACAGAGTATGGACCCTGATCCGCCTCTTCCCTAGGAGGACGGAGGGAGGGGGACAGAAAGAATGAGAGATGAGGGTAGGCTCATTAGATGATACTAAAATAACAACTGTGTCCTAGGACTAGGACAAATTATTCATTTTGGTAAAAGTAAAAAAGGTGGAATGCCTTTTCTACAAAATATTTCCACAATGAATGAAATGGTGAGGTGTTTAAGAGATTAAACTGTGTGTGTGTGTGTGTGTGTGTGCGCGCGTACCTTTGCTGGAGGTGTACAGCAGCGCAGCCTGGAAGCAGGCCAGTGAGGTGTCGGCCAGGCTCTCTTCTATAGACATCTGCATGGCAAAGCCCGAGTCTGGGTTGACGTTGGCCAGGGACAGCAAGTCCGTCGAGCGCACAAAGAAGTTCCCGTGGAACGTGTGGATGGACAAGCCTGTCAACCAAGGAGAGAGGTGACCGACATACTTAGTAATGATAACCACTAAATTGATCTAGAAATGGTCAATAAATGTATACTGTTCATTTTAGCGAGTGACAACAGTACCTTTCAGAAAGAAAATAAAACTACTAAAAGACAATACACAATAAATAATCTAGGAGTAGTTTACTGTTGCAAAATCATAACCATTTCAAGGAAGAAAACACCAACTAAAACTTAGCCCAGTGTCTGGGGGTGGTGGGGGGGGGGGGGGGGGGGGGGGGGGGGGGGGGAGACTACATACTTGTCCAAAACCTTTGAGCCCTACCTTTGGTGCAGCGTATCCGCATGACGGCCTCGAAGCCGATCTTCCTGGTGAGGTAGCGCTCCAGATCCTTCTGGAACTTGTCCAGCTGGGCCGGGTTGTGAACGTGGTGCAACGAGGGGTAGTAGAAGATACTGCCCGCTGAGTATTTAGACACACAGGCTGGACCGAGGAGGGGGACATAGGATGCTGTGGTCAGCCTTATGTTTAATGTTTACTCTAAAGGACTGCTATATTCTATTTTGTGTTTTATTTTTTCAGCTAAAGAATGGGCGGTCACGTCTTACCTAGTGAGGCCAGGTCAGAGTACTGGGAGCTGAGGAGGAAGAGGTCCACACCTATCTGTTGGCCAGAACAGTCCAGGGCCAGCTTCTTGTAGAAGTCTGTGGCTGGGCCCAAGTGTTTGACTCCCTGTCACAACATAACACGGAGAACAGACTTCTTAGACAACTGGAACCTTACATTACAGAACCATACCCAGGCATTTGGCCTGACAGTGTGTATGTGTTAGAAATAATAATAATACTAATATATATTCAAACTTTGCTTTCGTCAAATAATCCTCCATTTGCAGCAATTACAGCCTTGCAGACTGTTGGCATTCTAGTTGTCAATTTGTTGAGGTAATCTGAAGAGATGTCACCCCATGCTTCCTGAAGCACCACCCAACAAGTTGGATTGGCTTGATGGGCACTTCTTATGTACCATGCGGTCAAGCTGCTCCCACAACAGCTCAATAGGGTTGAGATCCGGTGACTGTGCTGGCCACTCCATTATAGACAGAATACCAGCGGACTGCTTCTTCCCTAAATAGTTCTTGCATAGTTTGGAGCTGTGCTTTGGGTCATTGTCCTGTTGTAGGAGGGAATTGGCTCCAATCAAGCGCCGTCCACAGGGTATGGCATGGCGTTGCAAAATGGAGTGATAGCCTTCCTTCTTCAAGATCCCTTTTACCCTGTACAAATCTCCCACTTTACCACCAACAAATACCCACAGACATTCACATTGCCTCCACAATGCTTGACAGATGGCATCAAGCACTCCTCCAGCATCTTTTCATTTGGTCTGAGTCTCACAAATGTTCTACTTTATGATCGAACACCTCAAACTTCGATTCGTCTGTCCATAACACTTTTTTCCAATCTTCCTCTGTCCAGTGTCTGTGTTCTTTTGCCCATCTTAATATTTTCTTTTTATTGGCCAGTCTGAGATAAGCTTTTTCTTTGCAACTCTGCCTAGAAGGTCAGCATCCCGGAGTCGCCTCTTCACTGTTGACGTGGAGACTGGTGTTTTGCGGGTACTATTTAATGAAGCTGCCAGTTGAGGACCTGTGAGGCGTCTGTTTCTCAAACTAGACACTAATGTATTTGTCCTCTTGCTCAGTTGTGCACCGGGGCCTCCCACTCCTCTTTCTATTCTGGTTAGAGACAGTTTGCGCTGTTCTGTGAAGGAAGTAGTACACAGCGTTGTATGAGATCTTCAGTTTCTTGGCAATTTCTCGCATGGAATAGCCTTCATTTCTCAGAACAAGAATAGACTGACGCGTTTCAGAAGAAAGTTATTTGTTTCTGGCCATTTTGAGCCTGTAATCGAACCCACAATTGCTGATGCTCCAGATACTCAACTAGTCTCAAGGAGGCCAGTTTTATTGCTTCTTTAATCAGCACAACAGTTTTCAGCTGTGCTAACATAATTGCATAAGGGTTTTCTAATGATCAATTAGCCTTTTAAAATGATAAACTTGGATTAGCAAACACAACGTGCCATTGGAACACAGGACTGATGGTTGCTGATAATGGGCCTCTGTACGCCTATGTAGATATTCAATTTTTTTAAAGATCAGCCGTTTCCAGCTACAATAGCCATTTACAACATTAACAATGTCTACACTGTATTTCTGATCAATTTGATGTTATGTTATTTTAATAGATAAAAAAAATTGCTTTTCTTTCGAATACAAGGACATTTCTAAGTGACCCTAAACTTTTGAACGGTAGGGTGTGTGTGAGATAGAGATATCTATCTATCTATCTATCTATATACACACACACACACACAGTGCATTCGGAAAGTTCAGACCCCTAGACTTTTTCCACATTTTGTTACATTACAGCCTTATTCTAAAATGGAATAAATAGTTTTTTCCCACTCATCAATCTACACACAATACCCCATAATGACAAAGCAAAAACAGTTTTAGCAAATGTATTAAAAATAAACATCTGAAATATCACATTTACATACACTACCAGTCAAAGGTTTGGGCACACATACTATTTTTTACATCGTAGAATAATAGTGAAGACAACAAAACTATAAAATAACACATAACTCTGGGTCTTCCATTCCTGTGGCGGTCCTCATGAGAGCCAGTTTCATCATAGCGCTTGATGGTTTTTGTGACTGCACTTGAATAAACTTTCAAAGTTCATGACATTTTTCCTATCGACTGACCTTCATGTCTTAAAGTAATGATGGACTGTCGTTTCTCTTTGCTTATTTGAGCTGTTCTTGCCATAATATGGACCTGGTCTTTTACCAAATAGGGCTATCTTCTGTATACCCCCCTACCTTGTCACAGCACAACTGATTGGCTCAAACGCATTAAGGTAAGAAATTCCACAAATTAACTTTTAATAAGGCACACCTGCTAATTGAAATGCATTCCAGGTGACTACCTCATGAAGCTGGTTGAGAAAATGCCAAGTGTGCAAAGCTGTCATCAAGGCAAAGGGTGGCTATTTGAAGAATCTCAAAATATAAAATATATTTTGATTTGTTTAACACTTTTTTGGTTACTACATGATTACATATGTGTTATTTCATAGTTTGGATGTCTTCACTATTACTCTACAATGTAGAAAATAGTAAAAGTAAAGAAAAACCCTGTAATGAGTATGTGTGTCCAAACTTTTGACTGGTACTTTAAGTATTCAGACCCTTTACTCAGTACTTTGTTGAAGCACCTTTGGCAGCGATTACAGCATCAAGTCTTCTTGAGTATGACGCTACAAGCTTGGCACACCTGTATTTGTGGAGTTTCTCCCATTCTTCTGTACAGATCCTCTCAAGCTCTGTCAGGTTGGATGGGGAGCGTCACTGCCCAGCTATTTTCAGGTCTCTCCAGAGATGTTCGATTGGGTTCAAGTCTGGGCTCTGGCTGGGCCACTCAAGAACATTCAGAGACTTGTCCCAAAGCCACTCCTGCGTTGTCTTGGCTGTGTGCTTAGGGTCGTTGTCCTGTTGGAAGGTGAATCTTCGCCCCAGTCTGAGGTCCTGAGCACTCTGGAGCAGATTTTCATCAAGCATCTCTCTGTACCTTGCTCCATTCATCTTTCCCTCAATCCTGACTAGTCTCCCAGTCCCTGCCACTGAAAAACATCCCCACAGCATGATGCTGCCACCACCATGCTTCACCGTAGGGATGGTGCCAGGTTTCCTCCAGACGTGACGCTTGGCATTCAGGCCAACGAGTTCAATCTTGGTTTCATCAAACCAGAGAATCTTGTTTCTCATGGTCTAAGAGTCCTTTAGGTGCCTTTTGGCAAACTCCAAGCGGGCTGTCATGTGCCTTTTACTGAGGAGTGGTTTCCGTCTGGCCACTCTACCATAAAGGCCTGATTGGTGGAGTGCTGCAGAGATGGTTGTCCTTCTGGAAGGTTCTCCATTCTCCACAGAGGAACTCCGGAGCTCTTTCAGAGTGGCCATCGGGTTCTTGACCTTATATAGACAGGTGTGTGCCTTTCCAAATCATGTCCAATCAATTTCATTTACCACAGGTGGACTCCAATAAAGTTGTAGAAACATCTCAAGGATGATCAACGGAAGCAGGATGCACCGGAGCTCAATTTTGAGTCTCAAAGCAACGAGTCTGAATACGTATGTAAATAAGGTAGTGTGTAGATCGATGAGAGAAAAAAACTATTTTATCAATTTTAGAATAAGGCTGTAATGTAATAAAATGTGGAAAAAGTGAATACTTTCCGAATGCACATACATATACACACACATATATGTGTGTGTGTGTGACTCAGCACTCATACCTTGGCGCTGGACCTCTGGTTGGGGTCCTCCCGGGACTGCAGCAGGCCGGCGCCCAGCGTGGGTAGCTGGGTCTGGAACACGGAGACGCGGCCCCCCGTGGGGGACATGAGCTTGTAGGCAGCCTGCAGTGCTGGGCCCAGGGCATTGTGGGTCTCCCTGGTCTGGCTAAACATGCTGTGTAGGGAGGTCAACAGTACCCTCACCAGCTGGGAGAGGGGGGTGGGGAGAGAGGAGGATTGAGAGAAAGAAAGAGAAAAGGAGAGAGGGAGAGAGAAAGAGCAGTTAAAATGACTAAAAAAGGCACACACACAAGCGAAAAACACTTTCACACTAAAGCAATCACACATGGTCAAAAACACACACTCTCACACGCCAGTCAAGAAAACCAGCCTGTGATGACACTGGTAAACACAAATAGTTCCACACATTCTCAGTCAAATAAAAACCTTTACCGCTCTGCTTTCCTTCAGGTTCACCAGGAGACTGTCGTGGGTTGGAATGAAGATATCTACAAAAACAGAACCAAGACGGAATCATTTAATGTACCACAGCTCCAATTCAATGTCCTGGGATATTTCACTTGGAGAAATGCCACAACAACAAAACAAAATTCCACCATTAGTAAATAAGTGAGTTTGAGGGAGAGGGGGGGTGCAGTCAGTCTGCTGCCGTCAACACTACACTGTTGCCTTGCCAAGAGTTGTTTGGCAAGACAACGACATGTTGGCTAGAGCACAAACCGACTGACACCCAGGCTGGGGATTTCTAGGCAGTGGACCTGAAGATGGAAGAGGGGAGCTGACTGAAAGAACACACACCGTCGATGTCGGAGACAACCAGCATCTGGGGCTGTGAGAGGCTCTCGTGGAGGTTGTAGAAGTGGATGGTGCTGTTGAAGGTGATGAAGCCCACTCGAGTGCGCGTGTCCCCGGGCATCCTGAGACACAGAACAGACCCCCCCTGGAGAGTCAACCTAGTCTCCAGCGTATAACAGTACTGGACAATGGAACAAAGGTCGGGAAATTGCAGAATCTTTCTCGGCTTTGACAACGCCAGTGTGTGTGTGTGTGTCATGGAATTCTGGTGAACTAATTTCCATGTCAAAAAGTGGGATTATGGACTTGGCATTATGGAGTTGACGTGACAGATTTCCCAGACATCGAAACAAGCAGAGAACAGTTATCAGAGCTAGTTTTGTATGGTTACGACAAAAGAACAAGATAATTTCCTGGGAAGAAATGGAATGACAGTCCTGCTCAAGTATTCCATGTCTCTTTTCCTGGCGAGAAAAACAATTCTTACTTCATAGTTGAAGCGTATCAACTTCAAACGTATCAACTTCAAACTATCCCTCTGGGTTGCCCAAATCCTATTGTTCACCATGTGTATGAATGCTGATGGACTTAACTGCTAAAGCAGAACGCACCAGAGAGCTCACCACTCATTTCAATATGCCTCCAGTTCTTACACACTTGCAAGCAGGCCAACGCAAGTACGCCTTTGTAGGAGGGCGTGGCCATGTTTTACATTTCTCCTTTTATTTGTTCCTTTTTTTCCCCCCTCTTTGAAATGGAGCACAAACTAAAAGAGTCTGATTTTGAGAACTAAAGGTTGCCAAATACTATGTATGGACTCCAGAGGCCAACCGACTCACTTGTCCAGGTTTTCCAGTAGGGTGTGACAGAAGACGTTCAGGTAGCCTCCCTCCACCGCGTTGTGAGACACATCCAGCACAAACAGGTACACTGCAGGCTGAGGGGGCCGCAGCTGGGGAGAACACATGCTTTACTCAAAACATTCAACCAGTTGACATCTGCAGTCTGACATGTGTCTGATGGAGACCTGCACACCAGTGGACTGAGGGCAAACTGCTTCTGGATGGATGAATGAATACTAACCATGTAATCTGAAGAGGCTATGAACTCCACAGTGGAGTTCTGTACCTCTGGCCTCTTCTGGGGCTCTCCATATGAGCGGGTCACTGGGTTATACATGAACTCATCAGGAACTGTGAGGGGGAGAATATTTACATTTAGGTGATTTAGCAGATGTTATTTAACATTATCATTTGGACAGTGCTGCCCTAGTACACATATTTAATAGAGGGATCCGTACCATCGTTGACCCTGTAACAGAGGTTGCATTTCCATCTCTTTTGGTCCAGGAAGGAGACAAAGGGGTTAATGTAGGTACGACAGGAGCGACATCTCACTATGGTGTTGGATGTGATCACCGGGAGTTGCTATGGATAGAGAGAGAGTGAGATTCTGTGATGAAGATGACTTTTTGTTCATCTGTGGTTTGTTACAAAGTTATTTCTGAAAATGTAATCTAACCTCTATATTTGATCTAACCTGTGTCTGCAATATGCATCTGTAAGAGTGGAATCCTTTTTGTAAAACTCCTTATATCAACACTGACCGGCTTTTTGTACTTTTACCACTTTCACTGAACCTAAAACAATGTATTTTTGCACCTCCTCATCCTCCACCTCAACCTGCCTTGCCTCCTGCTGTTCTGTGCTCAGTTTAACTTCCTATGACAGATTGACGGGTGTTATTTAGGGGGCATAGTATAGATCAACACTGAAAACCACAGTCAATATAAATATCCACTGAATAGTTTTATTCTAGGATATTCACTCAATTCCACAACATTTGTTGTGTGTTATGTTCCAATGTAGCAAATTGCCCTTCCAAGTTAGTAGCTCCCTGAAATGTCAGTTCCTTACACCTATCCAATCCTCTCAGATCTATACCAGGAGTTAGGGGATGTTTGTGGGCAGGACCCTGGTTGTGTTAGGGTTGGGTGTCTTACTGCGAGGTCTCTGAAGGGGTGCAGGAGCAGGCCCAGGGGCAGCCGGGCTTTATTCAGCAGGGCCTGGGTTTGGGGGATGTTGTTCAGGGTACACCTGAATGTGCTGTGGAGGGAGAGAGAACAGCATTTAGCACAGCCTTGCCAGGCATGAGCTAATATGTTTCATTGAGTGAGCGGAGACTGGAGGAACAATGCAGTGTGGAGATCGAGGAGAAGTACGTTTGAAATCAACAATGTTTCCAATATGTGTTTTGCTTGATCCTATCAATAGACTTGGGAGACCTGTCATTCAAAGTGTTTCAGTTTATGCTGCATATTGTCAGTGAGTGTTGTGTTCAGATACCAGCATATTCTCAAACCCACAAACTCTCCCTCCCTCTTACTCCGGGCTGCAGTTGGCCTTCTTGAGGTCAGCGCTGAGGTTGGGTTCTGGGGCGTCCAGGGGCCGGTGGGGCAGCAGGTTCCTCTCCTGCAGCAGGTTGACGGGCCGCAGCGCCTCCACCTCCAGCTCTGGTACACCGCTCAGCCCCCCAAGGGCCGCAGACAGCTGGGACATGTTAGGGAAGGGCTGCACAGACAAACAGGAGGCAGTTAGTCACACAGTCACTAGAGATAGGTAGATCATTACCACATGATAGAAAGGAATCGATGCCCACAACACTAACATGCCTTCAGAGAAATGTATTGACTTAGTAGGCTAACTCCTTTTCATGTATTTATGAGGGAACATATAATTTTTTATAATTTTTGTCATACACAACCAGGTGGGTTGTACCAGAACATCTTACCTGTGGCAAATGCTGGTAGCCAGTTTGGTTGTACCCGCTGTGGGAGGGGGAGGAGCCTGTCCTGGAGACCGGCCTCTGCTGATAGGCTGGCTGCATGCTGGGGTAGCCGTAGCCAAAGGGCGGGGCCTGTTTGGGCATGTCGGCGGAGGGAGGATTGGAGAACTCTGGAAATAAAGAGAGAAACATTAAGTTGCATGTACCAATGGACAGCTGCCCGCTGAGTGCATTTGGGGTTGTGGTTGAGTGGCGATATGTGGCAGAAGACATTTTCCATTGGACGATGGAGCTGTTGTCAAGATGGGTTGTGTCAAAAAATGTAAATGCAAAGTAAATGTAGCATTGGATGTTAAGAGCGGAGTACAGTATGTACCTGGGTAGCTGCCGCCTTCCAGGGAGTCATAGCTGTTGGGAACCGGGGACGCACTGCCGGTGGTGGTTGAGGAACTATCACCGCCTGAGAGAGGGGGGAGGTGAAGAACAAAACAGAGTTGTAAGGAGCTGTTCTCTTTAACTCTGCAGGGCCTTGGACATGCTGGCGGAAGAAAAATAACACATGAAAGCTGCTGAAATGGGAAAATAGGTGAAGCCACAGACAGACAAATCAAATCCGTGGCCTTTTGGGTAGTGTCCGCACTGAGATTGGGAGTTGGATCCCCGGCCTAGTCATACCAAAAACTGTAAAAATGGGACTCTCAATGAGTCTTTGCATGACACTCAGCATTAAAGGAGATAGATTGGGGGTAAGGCCCCAGATAGACTAGCATCCTGTCAGGGGGTGTACTTGTACATCACGTTTCCCTCACGCTGCAGAAACAGGAGATAGGCTCCTGCTCCTATGAGCCATTCCGGCTCGCACAAGCCAAGGCTTGTGCTAGGCTACTTACTTATAGAGAGGCAGATAGCAGTTATCAAAATCATCATCATCCTCCTAGGCCGTGCACATACAGCCTTTCCTTCCATCTGAGTAATTGGATAGAGGCGCTCTGGGGCACTATGAGAGGGTGCTTTTAAGTCTCAGCCACACGCACATCGGAGGCAGGTTTTGACTGAGTTGATTAATCCAATTGGGCCAAATGGAGGGCTGTGACAGTGAACCAAGATAGCACTGCCTGTGCAGGCCAAGAACTCATTGGATGAGCTCCAATTATCCCAGGCAGCTAAATCTGACTGTGACCCCACTGGATTAAGTACTCTGGATATTAGTGAACCTGGCTGGCTGGGGACACAAGGATGATATGACTGACAACGGACATGTCCTTGTTCTCATATGAATTTGTGTCATAACACAAAACAGCAAAAAAAATTGTCCTAAACAAAATGTTGGCCAAGCAACAGAGACAGAATGATAAGCGACATGATCATGCTTTGGAAAATAAATTAAAATGGGACAAACATAAAAGAGAAACATCTGCGACTTGAAAATGACAATGAAAATTGTAGAATGATAGAGTGTGTTTGGAGTGTAAGAGGGGAAAGAGGAGCACACTTTTAGCAGAGGTGCTAGCGAGAGCTAGTGCTGACATGCCTCGGCCTCTACCCTTCTCCCAGTGGAGACCAGTGAGCAGCAGAGGCTGCTGCCTGCTGGTCCGCAGCAACAAGGGACCTGCTATATTTAAAAAGCTGTTAACCTCTAGCCAATGACACACAACCCAAGGGTGGGACCCACCAGCACCCCTAGGACACTCAACCCAAGGGTGGGACCCACCAGCACCCCTAGGACACTCAACACCTTCTCATTAAAACACTGCATGTACAGTGCATGCTGATAACCAAATGGAAATTTAGTATAATAACATCGTTATCAGCATAGCATAACTATGGAAGGTGTTAAGATTTCAGGTTCCAAACATAGTGTAGGCTAGTGACTGGCCCAGATAGGGAGCTACAGAAAATGGTTAAATTATGTGCTCTATACATGTTTGTTTCCTTTTCTAAATGCAAAACCAATCATGCAAAATCAATAGTTTTTCAGGACGATGTCATTCTGAAATTGCAATGGGAAGAAAAATCAGCTTTTTGTTCAGAATCCAGTTGGATCAGTGCCTGTAATTGAAATTCAGACACACAATCATTACTAAAGGGTTAGTGGGTGAGAGCTGAGAGGATAACTGAGGACATCACAAGAACGAGTGAGTAGCCTGCATGTCAAGAAGACAAAACAGATCCTAAAACAACTCATTTGCTCTCAAACACATCTCATTTGCTCTCAAATACTACACCCTACTCACATGATTTAACTGATGGATCGAATTAAGCTTAATCAAGGCTTATCCTAACTTAATCAAGAAGAGGTTAGCTGATCAGCTTCACAGTGGTTTCAGTTACAATGAGCTCTCATCACTAACATACAATATCTATTGGGAACACAGTGTTAATGCTGGGAGAAGATATGGCGTAGCTGTTGAGTGCGTGGAGGCCGTCAGGTGGGCAGTAGAGAGAGATGGATCTGCAAGTGGGGGGCAGAGAAGCTGCTAGAGATGGGCGGAGGTGGCTTTGAGACATGAGTATGCATGCAAAGTGCCTGGGGTTGAAAGGAAAGTAAGTGCCACATGGGTTGATGTGAGGGTCGGGTTAGTTGATGGTTATTGGAGTTGGGTTGGGGAATAAAAGCTATAAGCAGACCTGCTTCCTCATCATCATCATCGGAGCTGGATGACGAGGGGGCAACGTTGGCGGCGGCGTTGGAAGAGCTAGCGCCACTATTGGCTACATATCCGTAGTGCATGCCTGTGGGGGGTGGGAGAGGGTACAAAACAAAACAACCATCAACTATGTGGAGGGGAGGAGAGGGCGAGGACGGAGCCAGAGGACTGAGTCCAGAAAATCTGTGTCTGTGTGGTGGGCACGTTGGTGAGGATGCTTGCCATTCTCCTGCAAAAACGTCACTACTCACTAGCTTCTACCACACAAACCAGGTTTCCGTACGACCTTTTTATACGAGTAAAGTACAAGCAAAAAAAGTGTCACGACAGGCCTGATGGAAACAGCAAATTTGGTGGTAAACTTTCCAAATGTCAACAAAACAAAACACTCTAGACAAGGTGGGATCTTTTTGTGTCGTAAAATGAATTATGTGAGAAATGGTGATGGAAACGCTTTTATCCACAAATATTGATATAACCATTATATCGGAGGTAAACTTGTCACGCGATGACATGTTGTGTGGTCCTCCCACTACGACTCGGGAAAACATGCAGTTTCTTAGGCTACAGATTAAATAAATTATGTTGAACTTCACAGGGTGGTGAAAGTGCACAGTGACAAGCTTGGTGCTCCTTTCCAATAAATATCGAGGGTCTTATTCTGGTGACATAATGATCGATGCTTGGCTGCCGTTTGACAAATACAAATAATCTTGCTCTTTTGTCCATAATAATCTCATCATGTAGGCTATACCAACACTGTATCTGCGAGCTGTTGGCTTGAGCGCACGTGCCAATACCAGAGTGGGCACGCTCACTATATAATAAAAAACATTGATTTCAAAGTGTAACAAACTATACAACTATGCACAAAGACACATTTCAACAATTTCCACTGAAGAATTTACTAAAACTAATTTAGTGGAAGAACTGTGCAGAATTACAGTAAAATCTCCCTCAGTTTTTTATGCGACCATGTTTTCCAAAAACTATATCTACTCCGAATTAAGATTCAAAGATGTCTGCAGAGAGAATGGGGTGTCAGCTATGACATGGCACCTTGAGTTTGACATTTCTTTTTGCTTTTGGTTATTAAACTACAGTAAGTGAAGTGAAATTACAACCGGTAACGGAATTACGGTAACAAAATTCCATCATGGGTCCCTGATCTGTACTATACAGAAATGTCTAATTATGGATATGAATGTCATTCTCCTCAAGTTTCACAAGTTTGGACAGCACAGCATGGTAGAGAACAGTAGAGTACAATACAGCACAGTAGAATACAGTACAATATACTGTACTATACTTTTATTTACTGTATTGTACTACTGTATTGTACTCGATTGTGCTCTACTCAATGTATTGTACTATCCAAACTTGTGAAACATACGTCTATGATAGGTTTAGATTTGGTCCAGTACGATCCGTCCGTGGACGTTAACATCAAAGCCAGGATGGACTGAACAAATTGCAACTACTTTTCAACATCCATGGACGTCCGGTGTCGGTCGGTGCTCAGTGGGTGAGGATGCTGGTTAAAGTAAATGGAAACATAGTGTTCTCATGGGTAGGTGTCAGTAAGAGCTGAGAGGTGACATTAACTGGAGAGTGAGAGAGGCAGAGAGAGAGAGGGAGAGGGAGAGAGGAAGGGGTTGTCCAGACTCAGACTGTTTTAACACTCTTGGTTTGACCACCAGACAACAGAAAGACAAAGAAAACAGTTATGAGCTGAACATAACAGTATGCCAGTGGAAGGGAGGACAGTAGCAGGTGACCCTACTGTGGTTTGTGACTATTATGATTTCCCAGTGTAGCCAATTCAATTGCATAATTCTGTTACTGATTTCTATGGTATCTCCGTTACCAATACCGTAACAGAACTACGAGTTTTAATCACTTAATAATGCATAAACAAAATGTATATGGGTAAAATCACTATAACTAATTGGTAAGTCTATCATTACTTGTTACTTCTGTAAACTTTTACTATCCTCCCTCATCATGAGGGAGAAAAAATTGAAAATATCTTACATTTGTGGGTTTTTGGCAATGGAATTACAAGGCACAAGGCAATATTTCTTAAACTAACAGAAGGTAAACAATTTATCCAAAACTAAATACAAGTGCTGATATTAGTTGGCAGGGGTCTTTATGTCAACATTAGTGTGTTTTTGATGCATTTCTGATACCTTTTAAGTATTTTTCTGGTAGATGTTTTCTAAGACCCCTTTTACATATTTTTATCCAGAAATCAAAGCCTTTGCTTATGCCTAATTTTTTAGATGGAAAATGGTTGAAAAATGTATCTATGCCTTCACTTCCGCAAAACATACTCTTAACTTTCATTTGACACCCAATTTGTTATGCTCCTATTAACTTCACATGTTGGTGCTCATCGGTCCTTTTCGATGGAAATGCCCCTATTCAATTTACTTAGTTAGACTAGGCCTAGAAAAAGTTTGAAAGATGAAAAACAGATCCCTTCATCAATCATTTAATCAAGGTGAGGACGGAGAAGCACACAAATGTAATGCTGCAGGATCCTCTCAAACTTGCATCAAAATGGCCGACATGGGCCTGCCATTGATGACATCAATGCTGATGACCTATACAGATACTGTAGAGAGATGCATGCTAACTCAATAGTTTACAAGCCTCTCTTCTCTCTCCATTTACCTTGCTGATGCCCCGGGGAGGAATTAACTGAAGTGGAGGGGATTCCTAAAGGTGGTATGTCGCCATCAGCACCCCCAGTGTTGTGTGTGACTCCTAATCCGCAGTGGTCATGTGTCATGGGTGCCTGGTGACTTTGGTCATAGTGCTGGAGGACTGAGGCTTGAACTGGGGAGAAGAAACCAATTAAGGCAGAGGCAAGTATATCAATTACACAAATTGACAAGAAAAGTGTCTCAAAATGTATTCTGTACGGACATCCTCAACAGTGCAGAGGAGTCGACCGTACCTGCATTACCCTGGCCGTTGACTGTGGCTGGTTGGCCGGGTGGAGCCATTCTATAACCAAGGGGAACCGCTGCAGTAGATGCTGGGTGACTGGTGTAATTTCCTGGGGGATACTGGTGGAGGGGAGCGCCCATCAGGTTGGGAACAGCTGCTGGGCCGGTGGGAGCCTGGGAGGAACGCAACGTGCCGTACTGGCTGCTTCCAAGAACAGAGGGGTACGAGACAATGGGATACAGGGGAGCACCTGGGCCGCTGGGGGGTGCCAACACCAAGTTTGGCTGCTGGGGGTGGTGTTGCGCTTGGGAGGTGGGGTACTGCTGCTGTCCATAGTAGGCCCCAGGCTGTGCGTAGGAGGCTGGTTGTTGGAATGAAGGTGCATGTTGGGGGTTTGGAAGGGCAGCGGAGGTGGGAAGGGTTGTGGGGGTGCCATAGGGCTGAGAGGGAGGGTGGGAGCCTTGGGTTGCTCCGTATGCAGAGGGGGCTACAGTAGGTGCAGCAGTGGGCTGCAGCAGCTGCTGGTGGCTGTTCTGGTGGTAGTAAGCACTGTGGTCATTGTTCGTGATGTGAGCTTTTTTGGGGGCAGGGGCACAGTGTCCTGGAATGGTAGGGTAGCCCTGCTGTTGAGGCCCGGCTCCACAGTACCCTGTCGAAGGATATGTGGATGGGTAAGTCTGTCCTCCTGGACCTGGAGACAATGACAGTTGAACAAAGGGGTTGGGGGTAAATTAAATATTGATGCAGATTATTGACAAGGAGGATTGATGATTATCATACATATTGTGTGATCAGCTATTATCAAAAGTATTAACTACATATATTACTAGCTAATATTACTAGCTACATACTAAATATTCTATAGAAAGGGTCAAACCTGTCAATGTCATCTAAGCAGCAACTGACTTTGTCAACCCAAGAGTAAAATATTTTAGATCTGGCAGACTAGCTGCCGGTGTAATGATGATGCCCTAACGTTACTAGCTAGTAACAGATTTCAAATGCCCTAGCAAGCTATCTAGCTACCGTAGCTAACTAGCCAAAGGTCCTCCAGCCATGGACCCCGGCTGCATTAGTGAAATAAGCAAAGAATACTTAGAAGATAGATGACTGTTGGCTAAATCAATTTGTGAACATAACCAATATTACCACAAATAAACGTGTTGAGTGGTTGTTCAAGATAGCTTGCTAGCTGGCAAGCTTGAATGGATACTAGCTAACGTTAGCTAGGTAGCAATTATCGATGTCTCTTTAACAAACTGAATTGTCCGTTTTAGTAATAACGTCATAATTTACGCAGCTAGCTAGCTAAGCTAATTACCAAACGCAACAAATACCCAAGCAACAGCCTTTCACACAGCCACATTAGTTAGCTAGTTATTTCAACCACTGGCTAGTTTAACTAGCGTCCGTAATCTCCACGGCCTGTTTTACCATTCTGATAGGGGGGTGCTACTCCACCATTCGGCGTTGAATTCAAGCTGTAACCGAGAGAGGTGTCAATGCTCGTACAACCCGGCGCAGACATCTCTTCTGCCCGCTGTCCTTTCTCAACACAAATGTACAGGGTGACAAAGACATATGAAAGGTTGTCACCAAGGGCAGTACTATTCCCATTAGCTAGGTGTCCGTCTGATGATGTTTGTAAACCCCCAGCCGTAGTTACCCCCTACTCGGCTTGCTGTCTAGCTATGATGAGGTTCATCCCAATTGAGCCGATTTTGGGTGCGTTTGTAAATTGTCTCCAGTCTGTCAGAGTGCGTAAATACAGTGAGCTGTTAAATTGTCTGTTCGTAAATTCAGAGCGTTTCGCTCTCGGAGCGTTCAGAGCGCACACTGGAGGCTCTGGCCGAGAAGAAGGGTTGATCCGAGAGTTCTGACCTCACAACGGCAATCAAGCACCTAAGCTAACTGGCTAAAGTTGTCTAGCTTGCTAGCTACTTCCAGACACAAATGAGAGAACCATTTTACTCGCCGAAGCAGAGTTGGTTAGCCTGTTTTCATGTTATATACAGCGTTAGTGACTGTAACTGTGCTGCTGGCAACAATTTAATTAGTTTTTTTGCCAACATTTACTGACAGCGGTCATATTCAACAGGTGTTTCGCGTTCTTAAATTCATCGGTTATTCTGCGCTCTGGAACTCTCTGATATCGGAGTATATAGAGTTAATTTACGAACGCACCCTAAGTGAAGCTGCCGTTTCTATGCGACTAGCTAGAGCTGGCATAATGGCGCCAACTGTTTGTAGGCAGAAGTGCAAGAGATACAGATTAGATGGATGGATCAGTGTTGAATAACCAGAGTATACTTCTAGCTAAATCAGCACCTATTTTTTTCTGTTATAAATATTGAATATGTAATCTCTAAATATTGAATATAGGTTTTTATTGAACAATATACAAGGTCATAATATCAGGGACATACATGATGCCTCTGATCATGTCACATGTAATATATAGTTTATAATGTTAGTGCATTTTTTACTTGAGCCATTCAAGACCCATTCAAGGCAAGCTCATAAAATAACAGATGTTGAGGATTCCTTTAATTGAAATAGACACGAGCTGTTTGTCACCACAACCACATTTGGGTCTGTTGAACCAGGATTGTCAAAACCATGAGGGTAAAGTTCCAGGTAAGGTCTCTGCTTAGCGCTGTTTAATGTTTTAAAACATCACAATGCATCCTGGGGGATCCTGGGCTGCCCGTCTGTACACTCGCACTCCTCTTTCTGTGTAGGTGTGGTGGAGGGCTCTTCTCCCTGGCCCTTGGTCTGGCAGGTGGGGCAGCAGGCAGTGTGGCCCCCCTGTCTGCAGTGAGAGCAGGAAATGACCAGCTGGCAGCAGAAATGGGTGGAGCACAGCTGGTACTGGTCCCACGGTGAGCTGCAATATCTGCACTCTGCACACAGAGAAGAGGAAGGGGAGAGGAATGTTGATGAACAGGTCTCTCGTTCTAACAGGAATTAACCTTTTCTTTGGGTTGGCACATAATAAGCACATAAACTAGACTACTTCTTGCATAAAAAAGCATTGTGCTAATCAGAAAGTCCTAAGGGCAATTCACAGTTTATACCGACCTGAGATGATGTCACTGTTGGAGGAGATGGCATAGCGCTCGTCAAACACAAAAAGTTTGCCGCGATAGATGCCCTCAGGGAATTGTTCCACGTACTTATGAATGCCACCTTTCAGCTGATAAACATCCTTACACAAATCCTGGAAGTAGGATCGAACATACTTTTAAACATTTGTTTAGGTTGAGCTTTTGGGTTGGATGAAGCATATTTGTCATGTTTCAATGAGATACTGTCACTGTGCAAAACCTGAAAGGTAAGCTTACTTTTGAGCAGAGATAGGCTGAGCCGTGTTCACAGCGAATGCCACCGGTACAGTACATCAGGACCTTCGTCTCGAAAGAGGTCAAGGTTCTGGTCAACATAATCGGGGAAATAACTGAATTTTTGGATGTTGGGGGCCAAACATTGGCTGAACTGCCCCTCAAAGGCAAAAAAGATTTGCTATATTAAACTGACATTATTATTACTCTATATGATAAATACAAATATACATACAGAACACAGTGGAGATATGCAGTCAAATCCAATACTTACAATTTTACTCTTGTAGAAGTTCCGGCAGTCCAGCAGTATTGTATCATTGCAAGAGTCACCTTTAGACAAAAGAGCCTCCACTTCTTTGTGGAATTCTTCAGGTTCCAGGTGAGTACCTAAGTGGAAAAAACAGAGGCTTAACTCAGGGCCATATTCAACCATTACCAGTTACTGGTTCCATTACGTCAAATAACATATCCAACGCAGACATACACGAGACAAATGTTATATGCCTACCTGCTAGTCTGTAGGAGAGGGCATCAGGGTCCATTCCCATTGGCACTATTTCCTTGTAGACTCAACTCGATGGTCAGAGAAACATTCTGCGCCCCCATCACTGGTCTAACGAGACATTGAAAACGATAGTGAATGGATCACAGAGAAACATTTGTAAACCTTACCCCAAGCCTTTCTCTGTTGTCAAAGACTACAGCCAAGTCATAGACTGTTCTCTCTGCTACTGCATGGCAAGCGGTAGCAGAGTGCCAAGTCTGGGACCAAAAGGCTCCTGAACAGCTTCTACCCCCAAGCCATAAGAATGCTAAACAGTTAATCTAATGGCTACCCGGACTATTTTTTTTTTCCACTGACATTCTTGCACTGGCTCTATGCACACTCACCGGACTCTTCCCACACATACTACACTGACACTCCAACGCACCCAAAACACACACACACGCATATTGACGCCACACACATACCCTCACACAGACACACTCTTCACATACGATGCTACTACTCTGTTTATTATCCGTCCTGATTGCCTAGTCACTTTTACCCCTACCTACATGTACTTATTACCTCAATTACGTCGTACCCCTGCACATTGACTTGGCACCGATACTCCTTGTATATAGCCTCGTTATTGTTATTTTATTGTATTACTATTTCTTTTTTTGTTAATTTTTCTTACTTTTGAACTCTGCATTGTTGGGAAAGGGCTCACAAGTAAGCATTTCATGGTAAAGTCTACACATGTTTTATTCAGCGCATGTGACAAATCATTTGATTTGATGTTGTTGTTTCTACCTTAAAGTCTTATTTTTCCATTATCTTAAAGATGGGATGGGAGCACATTGCCTTGATGTACAAGTCCGTCGCCACTTTTCTGCCTCTAACTATACCATTGATCCCCTCTGTTGCCACCCTCACCTGTAGAAATGGTATGATAACTGAATGAAGTACTGAATTATAAAAATGAAAATCATCATATTTTTATAAGCCAGGATTCTGTCATTCCATTACCTTGCCAGTTAACTGGAGTTGAGGTGAGGTTCTTCTGCCAAGCACAGATGAGCTGTGGATCTGCCAGCGGACAGTAGCAGTAGAGCAGAAGAACCTCACCTGGGCCACTTTACAGATGAAAAGAAACAGAGCATGAGAAGGTATTAATTTCGGAGTACTATAAGATCCACTGTAATGATTCAACACTGAAAGATCCCACGAGTAAGCCCTACTTGTGTAGTTGGCCATCGGTGATGTGACTGGTGTCAGGTATCCAGGAGAAAATGTCAACTGGCTCTTTCTCTGTTGATTGTTGTTGTGAAGCGGCTTCTTTCTCAATCTGGCTCAGTAAAATCTCTAATGTGGACTGGGTAAGCTTCTGAATGTCAGTGTCATGATTCCTTGCCACAGGTTTGTGGATAGAAGGAGGTTCCTTAAAGGTCTGGCCACAGCAATACCAAACTGTTGTTGGAGACTCTGCCTCATGACATAATGCTATTTTGGATGCCACGAATGTACCAAATGTCTGCAAGATAAGAGATGTTTTCATTATGACATAGCTACTAAGAAAAGAAACGATAGCTAGCGTTACGTTTGTTACACTAACCCTCCTCTTACAGAATGAGTAGTACCTTCGTAAAGTTGCAGAAAGTTGGGGTTTCTCTTGTTTAAAAACATGGGGTGCAATGGTGTCAACATCTATGTTAATTAACTCATCACAAGCCATAACATCGGTTGTCATGTCAATGGTGTGCTAAAACAAGAAACTAGCCAGCTATACTTTTCCTAGACTGAAAATATATGTTCTAGTTTGCTAGCGAACGTTAGCCAGACTACTTAGTGGATAGCTAGCCACACCATTTTACTTTAATTATGTCAGGAATTAAAACATTTAACGAAGCAAAACAGATTGCCATAGAAACCCAGTTTACCTTCCATTAAAACCAACATAAATTTCGCTGAAAAGTAACAGTTGCTAGCTAGCTAGGCCACACCAGTGATGAGGAACAAAACACAAGAATGTAGGAAGACAAATGAAGTATATTGAGTAGAACGTCATTGGATATAGTCTCAAATATTTTGTTATCTTTTTTAAGAGCAACGGGGAATGGCAGGTAGGATTTAGTTTCTCCGTCTCTGGCCCACACTCCAGTACAGTAGTCGGCGGTAATGCACCATAACGATGGATGCCAACCGCCGATAAACCCCACCGAAGAAGAAGGAGACAAACGAAGTACACAACCAAGTACTTCCGGTTAACCTCCGCTCCGGATATGCCTCACTTGAATCTGACCACTATTGAAAAGCTCTAAACTTGATAACTCATCTTCTTATCTCTAAAAGTACTGTTACCATATTCAAAAAGAAGCAGCATACAGTTAATAATCCAACGGTGTCAATAATAAAATGTCGAGAAGACGGCACAGTGACGGAGATGATGGTAAGTGGTCGTTAGCTAGCTAATTCGAGGCTAAAGTAGTTAGCTAACGTTCGCTGAAGCCAGCGTGAGTTGATGCTGCTCGGTCTGACTGTAGTCAATGTGCAGCATGCTAAGTTAGCCAAATAGTTAGCTAGTTACCTTGTGTACTAGCTAAATCTCCATAGTCAGTTCAATTAGCTAACGTAAGGAGTTATTTGACTATCGGTTCATACATCAATGTGAAACACCAAACCAGGTATTTTGCAAGTCATTGGCAGTTTTCCAACACCCCATGATTAACTAGCCTGATGGGTTAACATAGCCTTGCCGGTTAGCTAGAAATTGGCTAACTAGTTAGCTACCTAGCTACCCGTCGTTCATCGTATGCAGCAAAATCACAGCCATATACTACCAGTGGCAAGTGGTAGTGTAGCGGTTAAGCTTGTTGGGCTAATAACCGAAAGGTCGCTGGTTCGAATCCCCGAGTTGCCTAGGTGAAACATCGGTCGATGTGCCCTTGAGCAACACCCTTAACCTGATCCCTGGCCGTGACCCCACTCTTCGAGGGTGTCTCGGGGGGAGTGGGATATGCAAAAAAAAAACACATTTACAATTTGAAATGGGACAAATGTAAGCCCCCACCTAATTTATTTATTTATTATTGTTATTATTATATATTTGTCCTACAAATAATTGATCTATTGTGTTGTTGTTAACCACTGTAACCTTAAAGCGCTAGTCAGTAGTTGAAACAATAAGAGTTTCCCCCGCCCCTGTTTCGATCAAACGCCCCTGTTTCGATCAAACGCTGAGAGATGGGGCTGGAGAAATGTAACCACTCTCAAATTCATAGACATAGCTAAGGATGCAAGGACCATCCATGATATCAGCATTTTAGTTTGTTTACATTTTGTTTGTTTACAAACATTGGAGTAAAACAAGCTTGTATTTTGGGTTCTGATGGGTTATGACAGTTGAACTAAGCTCATGAGGCATTTATAAGTTATATTCGTCAAGAATCAATGGGTACGTATCATTAATTTATAAGTCCACAAATGGATGTAGCAACTGCAGATTGCCCCTTTTAACTACATGTTATTTTGGGGCACATTTCAGACCCTGGGGGTGCCGGCAACCAGTGATGTCAAAAAGTTGCCTCGCTAGCAGGCTTGTAGCCTCTGCCATTTACCCCACAATGGATCTGCAAAATAATTATTTGTGAAGTTAACTAGTAGCCAGGGGGAACGGCATGTGGTCCGGGAGCTTGCTAGGAACGGGTGACGGTGGATGTGGTTGGAAGAGCGCGCTTGTTTGAAATGGGAAAGCGTCGCGGTATCTTGATAAAGAAGAACATCAAGACGAAGCAGCTGCTTTACAAGTGGGATGCGCTGTTGAGGGCAACATCCCGAGGGGTTCGTGCTGATTGTATGGAGATTGTGACAGCCAGTTAAATGGCGTCCCTTGAGAAGGCAAGAACAAGATGTATGTCAGGAGAAGTGCAGTATTATCATAAGGAGACGTAGACTTGGAATACGGAGGACGAATTGAGGGAAAAAGAGAGGCAGAGGAGGTCTAAGAGAGAGAGGGAGGAAGAGGGTGAGCTTGAGTCGGTTAAAAATGGTGGGGGAAAAGGAGATGGTTTGTTAAAGAAGAATGGTAGAAAGTGTAAGCAGTGAGCTGAAGACAGGAGGAGAAATGGAAGTGAATGAGGGCGAAGTATCGGAGGTGGTAGGTGTGGTAAAGTTCTCGGAGCCCGAGGCTTGCACCGAGGGTCAGGATAAAGATGAGTCTGTGACAGTAGAAGTGAAGTCTTTGGAAAAAGTGGACCCTTGCCTTTTGGCTGATCCATTTGTGGTTTCAGGGTGGGTGAAAACAGAGTTGGGTGCTGTGGAATCGGGGAGGGTAACCAGAAGTGGTCTTGTGATAATTATTTGTGTTTCTGCTGGTTAGAGGGAGCAGGCGCTCCGCATTATACGAATGGGGGCAAGAGATGTGAATTGTTTTGCTCTCAAGAAAAGGGTGCCATTGAAAGGAGTGATTACTGGGGTAGCGGTAAATGTGAAAGCTGACCAACTGAAGGGGAAGATTCCCGGTGTTTGTGATGCTCGTCGTTTGGTGCGACGCAGACAGGGTGGCGTGACTGGTGAAACAGAAGAGTCATTGTCTGTTCTTTTGAGTTATCCTGTACAAGCTTTTGTGCCGAATACATTACGTTGTTACAGGTGTCAAGCTTATGGGCATGTGGCAGCAGTGTGTAGGGGGGAGGTTCCTAGGTGTGAGAAGTGTGCAGAAGGGCATGAGACATTGGGGAAAGTAGTGGTATGTATTAATTGTAGGGGTGCCCATGGGGCTGGGGATCAGAAATGTCCAGTGCGAGAGAGGCAGGTTGAGGTTTCCAGTTAGAGTAGTGCAGAAGTTGTTCAATGCTGAGGCAGTGAAGAAAGTAGAGGAATATGGGTCAAGGGGGAGGGATCCTGAGAGGAGTGGTGTGAGTAGTAGATCTGTACCAGTACAGAGGGATAAACCAACAAGTGATATGTTTCAGTAAGATTTGATTTTTATCAACTGTACTGCAGGGATGGAACGTAAGTCGCAGAAAATTGAGGTTGTGGTGGCAGCTGCAGAGAGGTATTTGGGTGTGCGAGACTTGACATCAGAAGAGTTACAGGGTGTGTTAAGTGGTGGCGTCCCATCCTTTCGTTAGCCTGAAGTAGGACTAAATAGATTTAAATAGTGGAGTATGGTGTTTTTTATTTTTGTGAGATTATTGTTAGATGGTAGGGTATTATTTGTAATTTAAAAAATGTAAGCAAAGTATAAGGGAGTTATACTCCAGTGTAGTAGGTGACGGTAATGCAAGATTTATTGGATGTCAACTGCCGTTAAACCTCATAGAAGAAGAACTAGTAGCCAGTTACACTACTGTAGGATAATGTTTTTAAACAGAGAAGAATTTCCTCTATCAGTGAGTTAGCACAAAATATTCAATTGAAGGAAGGATTCATCTCAGGCAATCTCTTCCATCTCACCATCATGTATCCATCTCATTCTAGGTGGCCAGTCTCACAAAAGAAGGAGAACGTCTGAGCCAGTTGAGATTGAGGATCGCCTGGAATCACTAATATGTCGAGTGGGAGAAAAGGTAATAGGGCTTTGCAGTAAGTGTGGGTATGTTTTCTGGATGATACCCATGTGTGCATTTTGTCACTATACTGTTTGTCTGATTTGACCCCTGAAATCAGCAGATGCTGTTTTCCAATAATTTCTTCATTCATTTGCAGAGTACCTCTTCCCTGGAAAGTAACTTGGAAGGTCTCGCAGGTGTATTGGAAGCGGACCTCCCCAATTACAAAAACAAAATCCTGCGCATCTTGTGTGCTGTGTAAGCTATTCCAAGTTATTCTAATGCATTTTAAACACTTTTAGTGCAGTCGTAGGTGCAGTACAAAAAGGTTCCATGTTATAATTGTGTGTCTTGTTTTGACAGGGCTCGACTTCTACCCGAGAAACTGACTGTTTACACAACACTAGTGGGCCTTCTCAATGCCAGGAACTACAACTTTGGCGGGGAGTTTGTGGAGGCCATGATCAGACAACTCAAAGAGACCTTGAAGGCCAACCTGTACACCGAAGCTCTTTACCTGGTAAGTGTTTGGTGCGATGAAATAATTGGTTCACCAGGCAAATTTAGCAAGGGTCTCTCAAAACAATTACAGATGCATTACAATAATGTTTGACACACTTTTCTCTCCAGGTGCGCTTCCTCTGTGACCTGGTGAACTGCCACGTGATCGCTGCCCCCTCCATGGTGGCCATGTTTGAGAACTTTGTTAGCGTCACTCAGGAGGAGGATGTGCCACAGGTTACATGTTATTGATATATTTTAAACTCATGAATTGTATGCAAGTACGCTCTGTGGCCAGTTTATTAGGTACGGCCATCTACTACTGGGTCGTACGCCCTTTTGCCTCCACAACAGCTGGGGCATTTAAACATAGCTCAGTTGGTATCAAGGGATCTAATGTGTGCCAGGAAAACATTCCCCATACCATTACACCACCGCCACCAGCCTGTACCGTTTACACTAGGCAGGATGGGACCATGAACTCCTGCTGCTTATGCCAAATGCTGAGACTGCCATCAGCATGACGCAACAGGAACCGGGATTCGTCGGAGCAGGCGATGTTTTATCCACTCCTCAATTGTCTAGTGTTGGTGATCGTGTGCCCACTGGAGCCGCTTCTTCTTGTTTTTAGCTGATAGGAGTGGAACACAGTGTGATCGTCGTCTGCAATAGCCCATCCGTGACAAGGACCGACAAGTTGTGCGCTCTGAGATGCCTTTCTGAACACCACTGTTTTACTGCAGCTGTTAGCTTGCACGATTCTTGCCATTCAACGAGCTGTGTTCACCCACAGGGCTGCCGCTGACTGGATGTTTTTTGTTTGTCGCACAATTTTCGGTAAACCCTTGATACTGTTGTGTGTGAAAAGCCCAGGAGGCTGGCTGTATCTGAGATACTGGAACCGGTGCACCTGGCACAGACGATCATACCATGCTCAAAGTCACTTAGGTTACTCATTTTGCCCATTCTAAAGTTCATTTGAACAGTAACTGGATGCCTCTATGCATGCTTCATATAGCAAGCCATGACCATGTGACACACTGTCTGTAGGAGCGAACCATTTCGTGAACGGGGTGGTGTACCTAATAATCTGGCCACTGAGTGTATATACAGTTTAGTTTGACTATTGGTGCATTTTGACTGTTTCTCTCTTTCCAGGTGCGTTCCGACTGGTTTGTCTATGCTGTACTCTCCAGTCTCCCCTGGGTTGGGAAGGAGCTTTATGAGAAGAAGGACGCGGAGATGGACCGGCTCCTAAACCAGATTGACGGTTATCTCAAGTACACTTTCTTTCTGTCTTCTACTATAGTTTGGTATTTACATATCTTTACATTTTTGTCATTTAGCAGATGCTCTTATCCAGAGAAACTTACAGTAGTGTCTTTCTGGCTCTTTTGTTGAGGAACTGTGCATGACGTAATGCAATTTAAATTAATGCGTATTTTGAGGGAGACGACTTTGTCAACTGCATTCAATAGTGGTGAGACGCTCATGGTGACACCGATCTATTGTTTTTCAGGAGGCGACTGAAGACTCATGTCCCCATGCTTCAGGTTTGGACGGCAGAGAAGCCACACCCACAAGAGGAGGTAAGTTGTTTTTATTTATTGTGTTTTTATTTGTATTTGTCTGACCAAGTATTGATTCAGTGTTATTTTAAGATCCTATTCTGGATTTTCTATTTCTTACCTTTGATATTGAACACTGCATTGTTGAGGAAGAGCTTGTAAGTAAGCATTCTATCCCGTGCAAGAGACAAATACACTTTGATTTGAAGTAGGAGATACCAGTTTTGAGAAGTGTTATATTCATTCACCACCTCCTCTCTCTCCCTCAGTATCTGGACTGTCTGTTCGCTCAGATCCAGAAGCTGAAGAAGGACCGCTGGCAGGAGCGCCACATCCTGCGGCCATACATCGCCTTTGACAGCGTGCTGTGCGAGGCCCTGCAGCACAACCTGCCACCCTTCACCCCGCCCGCCCACATGCCCGACTGCCAGTACCCCATGCCCCGCGTCATCTTCCGCATGTTCGACTACACCGATGCCCCCGAGGTACCGTGTAGCACTCCCTCTCTCAGACCAGTCAGAATACAGAGAAAGAGGAACGTTTGGGAATAGGGTTGCCATTTGGAATGCTCTGACTAGCCTTTCTCCCTCTCCCTGACTACAGGGTCCTGTCATGCCAGGCAGCCATTCTGTGGAGAGGTTTGTGATTGAGGATAACCTTCACAACATCATCAAGTCCCACTGGAAAGAAAGGAAGACCTGGTGAGCTGTTGTACATTCTAATGGACTTGTTTATGTGTCCTCTTGTTGTGAGAGTGAGTCATTTCTGACTTGTGATTGAGCAAATGTGACTAAACACTTCTTATATCAGTGCTGCACAGTTGCTAAGCTATCCAGGGAAAAACAAGATCCCGCTCAACTATCACATTGTGGAGGTAAGCCCATTACGACTTCATATCAATGAGTTTTATCAATAGGGGAACAGGACCTTAGTTAACACTTCCATTCCGCTTCGTCTTTCTTCTGCCAGGTGATCTTTGGAGAGCTCTTCCAGCTGCCCTGTCCCCCCCACATCGACGTCATGTACACCACGCTGCTCATCGAGCTCTGCAAGCTGCAGCCAGGCTCCCTGCCCCAAGTTGTATCCTTCACCCCACTACTGGGACACAATGTTTGACTACTTCAGAAATTCATTTTTCTTCTATGCAAAACATTTGAGTACGGGGAAACTAAGGTACACAAAATACCATGGGAAAATACAGAAATACGTTTTTCAGAGATCCTACTTTTTTAAATCAAAAACCATAATAGGTTTTTTATCAGGCTTGGATACTTGTTTTACATCACATCAATAGTGAGAGTTAACCCCTTAACAGCCTCCTCCCAGTTGGCCCAAGCCACAGAGATGATGTACGTGAGGCTGGACACCATGAACACTACTTGCATAGACCGACTCCTCAACTGGTTCTCCCACCATCTGAGCAACTTTCAGTTCCGATGGAGCTGGGACGACTGGTAAGATCAGCTGTCTTCCTCAACTGAATTATTTGATGTAGTTGAAATCACTCCTTATTATGGCTACGGCAATGCTTATCTGTTCACATTCATCTCCAAAGGGTGGACTGTTTGGCGCTGGATGCAGACAAGCCCAAGCCCAAGTTTGTCAAGGAGGTTCTGGAGAAATGCATGAGGTATTTCCATTCAGATCCACTACTCCTGTGTTGCACCCAGCTTGTTTTAGATCATACATAGGGAGGGATAGGTATAGAGATGGCTCTCCTTAGTCTGTCTCTAGAAAGTGACCAATGAGCTTCTGCTCTTCACCTCCAGGCTCTCCTATCATCAGCGGATAGTGGACATCGTCCCTCCCACTTTCTCAGCCCTCATCCCAGCTGACCCCATCTTCTTTTACAAATACCAAGATGAGGCCAACAGTAAGTACACCGCCTCTCCAAGGGTTTATTTATTCATGCATTTATTTCTGTAAGATGCTGTCTCTGTTGGTTCATCATAGCCTGGGGACTAAGACGACTCAAATGTGCTCGTCTTTTTTGAGCCTGGTTTATAGAAAAGTATTGGTCTGCCATTTGGTTTCCTGTTGTATTGTAGAAGTGGTGCCTTTTGAATGTCAACCTCGAAGCCCCAGGGGTATCACTGCACATTAGTGTTGTTATCCAAGTGAACTAAATACGGTGTGCACATTCTTCTTTTTCTGTTGAACTCTTTGACGTAAGCACCATCAGAAATACAACATGAATACACCACTGCCTTTGTCCAGGTGCGCTGCCAGGCTATGCCGTGGCCATAGCGGTGGGCAACGCCATCAAGAACCGGGCCTCCAACGAGGAGATCCTCACCGTGCTCAAAGACGTGCCAAACCCCAACCAGGAAGATGACGACGGTCAGTTAGCCCCCTAACACACTCCTCTTCCGTGTTCCTATAGGGATATGTTCTACTCATTTCTCACTCACTCCTCCTTTGTCTGTTTCCAGATGAGGGCGAGGGCTTCAACCCCCTGAAGATAGAGGTGTTCCTGCAGACCCTCCTCCATCTGGCTGCCAAGTCCTTCAGCCACTCCTTCAGTGCCCTGGCCAAGTGAGTGTGCCTGTTGTTCCAACCCACACCCTCCCTTCCTGTGCCCTCCTCTGTTGTGTGCCACAGAAAAGGGTGGCATTGTTCAGTCTTGAGGCTTAGTGTAGCATTGCTATGATACCAGGCAGTTGAATGAACACACGTGTTGTGTCTGTGTGTACAACACCTAAAGTGTCCTGTTTCTATCTCCCAGGTTCCATGAGATCCTGAAGGCCCTGACGGACTGTGACGAGGGCAAGCTGCATATCCTCCGGGTGGTCTACGAGGTCTGGAGGAACCACCCACAGGTTAGACCCACCTCATCCACCTACACTAAAACACTCGTTTCCACAGAGTTATAAGAAAGATGTTTCTTTTTTACAACCAAATCTCGATTTTTGATGTAAATGGAATGTTATTGAAGAGTCCAGACACCTTTTTGGGGATTTCACTTTTTAGAGAAACTTACCCCTAACAGCAAATAACTTCCTCATCCTCGTTGTGTAGTATGGGGGCCATGAAAAAACATGAACAAAGTCTCCAATAAACACCTCAAATACGTCATTTTAGAAATGTCAAGCTCAGTTGATGCAGGTCTTTAGATGTTGTACACATGAAATTGTGTCATTCCGAACTTTATCCGCAACGTTATATTCCATTTTGTTGCGGCTCGAGCAATGTCTCTCCGTCCATTTTACAGGTAACTGCCAAAATAAAGGAAACACTTGAGTAAATGAGGGATACAATGTATATTGAAAGCATGGGGTGCTTCCACACAGGAAGTTCCAGACACTTGTAGAAGGCGCATTGAAGTTGTTCTGGCTCGTGGTGGCCCAATGCCCTATTAAGTCACCATGTTGTTGTTTCCTTTATTTTGGCATTTACCTGTAGCAGCAGGCTACATGGAAAATGGAACTGCTCGAGACTGCTCGAGTCGCGCAAAAGGGAATATAACATTGAGGATAAAGTTGGGAATGACACAATTTAATGTGTACAATACAATACAACATCTAAAGACCTGCACCACTATACTGAGAGCTTTGCCCTTTTCTAAAATGACGTTTTTGGGGAGGTTTAAGTTTTTTCAGGGCCCCCATACTAAACAATGAGGACGAGGAAGTGATTTGCTGTTTGGGGTAAGTTTCTCTAAAACGTTAACGTCACAAAACATACCATTTACATCAAAAATAACTCAGTTGGTAGAGCATGGCGCTTGCAACGCCAGGGTTGTGGGTTCGTTTCCCACGGGGGGCCGGTATGAAAATGTATGCACTCACTAACTGTAATTCGCTCTGGATAAGAGCGTCTGCTAAATGACTAAAATGTAAAAAACAACTTCTCCTTTAATATAATGTTGTGAATTGTGCCGTGACCATAGGTTGAATGGAGAAAGGTGAGAGTCTGTGGTGTAACTCAGTGTGGTCGACCTGTCTGTCTGTGCAGATGGTCTCTGTGCTGGTGGACAAGTTGATCCGTACACAGATTGTGGACTGTGCAGCCGTAGCCAACTGGCTCTTCTCCCCTAACATGGCTCATGAGTTTACCAGGTAGGCCTTAAACCCTCTGCATGTGCACGTGCTCGCGTTTGCTGTGTCTTCCCTTGCTGTAAATTAAATAATGCGGATATCTCGATCAAGTATGAAGTATGTATGCACTCACTAACTGTAAGTCGCTCTGGATAAGAGCGTCTGCTAAATGAATAAAATGTCAAATGAAAATGTAAGTAAAGTTTTCAGTTATCCTAATACAGTATGACATTTTTTTGTACTGTTTTGAAATGAATTAACTCATGGATAATCCATGCGTGGCCTTGTGGCTGGCAGGTTTTACGTGTGGGAGATTCTGCACTCCACCATCCGTAAGATGAACAAACACGTCCAGAAGATTCAGAAAGAGCTGGAGGAGGCCAAGGATAAGCTGGAGAGGCAACAGCATAAGAAGGTAAGCAGCAGGAGGGTGTCCTAGCAACCACTGCTGTAAGCAGAGCCTCTTATAAAATCTTTAAAGCCAAGAATTAACCGACAATATTGCTCTGAATATTGTACTGATTGTGCCAGTAGTTTTTTTTACCCAAGGTTTGCACAAAGCAGAATGTTCCCTTCTTGATTATGTAGTGACCTTTTAGATAGTGCCCTAGTTTTGCTGTCTAAACCCAACTAATTGAATTTGGACTTGAATGGACATACTGTCCCTTTCAAACATATTAAAACATTTTTATTAGTACATGTCAGCGCTATTACCATATTAAAGGCTATTACCATATTAAAGGAACTAGAGGAGCCAAACATACAAAAAACAAGCAAATAGGACTCTCTCTCATGTCTCTCTCTCCCTCATCTCTCAGCAGAAGGACAGTGGAGACGAGGAAGACATGGAGAAGAACAGTGAGGATGAGGATGGTCAGCTGGAGGAGCAGATCGAGCGTCTGCAGGAGAAGGTGGAGTCGGCCCAGAGTGAGCAGAAGAACCTCTTCCTGGTCATCTTCCAGGTACGGGTCTGGATGGACAATAAAGCTTTGTGAATTTGAATAGATTATGTCAGCAACATGGTTGCCTGTATTGTTCTCAACTGTTCAGCCCTTTCAGTGATGACATTCTGTATGATTACAGACCAATTTCAACCTTTAAATTCTACAATTTTTTTTTCTCTAACTTCTATTCCCTCTCTTCTGTCCCCGTAGCGCTTCATCATGATGCTGACGGAGCACCTGGTGCGCTGCGAGACAGGCAGTGTGGACTTCAGCACGCCCTGGTACAAGAACTGCATCGAGAGGCTGCAGCAAATCTTCCTCATGGTAGCAGCTACTCCTTCTTCAGTCTGTCATGAGTCCTGTCAATTCTATTCCATGTAATTCAAGTTCAATTGATGTTAATTTAGTTATTTGTGTTTTCCTTCTGCAGCACCATGTGACAATCCACCAGTACATGGGGACCCTGGAGAACCTGCTATTCACCGCCGAGCTCGACCACCACATCCTAGCTGTGTACCAGCAGTTCTGTGCCCTTCAGCTCTGAGCCCGTACACACCATACTTTACATACACAACACGCCATACTACACACACAGCCAGCTCTTGCATCAAGATTTCCTCATTAGACCTTTTTGTTATTTCGACTTTGTGTAGTGAGTGCCGTTCAAGGTATTAACTGTAAAATACCATACTTTTTAAGTAGTAACTTTGACAGATGTTGCAATCTGTATTTTGGGTCCTTCGCCATTTTTTTATTTTTTTCCTCCATTTTGTTGTTCATTTTTACCACATATTACTCATATTCCTATAGAGTACCACCGTATGAGTCATAATACCCATAAAACCTGTCTACTTTGATGCTAGTTAGCATTTTCAAATCTGAGCGTAAATAGAGCCGAATCTATTGATAAGTCACCTTGTCCGAGAGAGATTTACATGGTTATCGAAACGTCATGCCAGGGTCAGCCTACACGAAACACAGCCTTTATTTTAAGTGTTTCTAAGATTCCCTATGGGAAAAATGAATGGTGGAAAAACGATTGGAACCATTTCCCTGTTTGACCGCTAGGTTTTATGGGTATTATGACACTTCCACTGTGGGGCTCTATTAAAGTGGATCTTTTAAAAACCTGAGGTTTCAACTGGGCAAAAAGCAGCGGGCGAGCCTGAATCCAAAGTGCTCTTTTTTATGTGTTTTATGCGAATTGAAATTGGGAAATGATTAAAACTGTAGAGTCTTATGTTGGCCACTGTGTAACACTTTGGAACCTTTACATTTCCTGCCCTTATCCCTTTCCTCTTAGCCACCTCTTCAAGGAAAGAAAACCTATGACTGACTTGGAAGTCAAAAGTGGGTGATTTAATAACTATTGTTTTTGTATATTTACAGGAGTAGTTTAAAACAGCACTTAACACACAATTTACACAATTGAATGTATAAAAGAAAGTGGAACAGACATAATTTATGTATCTGGATTTTTTCATGAACTAGTCTGTACCTTTTTAACACCCCAAAAGCATATATGCCCATCAACATCTGTTTAATTCCATTGAAATTCCTTTTGCATGCAAAATATGTCCAATTTTACAGAGCAGAAATGACCTCAACTCTGCTCCGCCTCAGTACAAAGGTGCTATTCAGTGCATACCTGTATTAAAAGGAAAGCCCAGTTTACCATCACTGTAAAATAAAATATCACTATGTAAAAATGTAATCATTCACTTGAGATGAGAGAATGAAGCCATATGGCAAAGGTAGAAATAACCTTTCAGTTACATTCTAAATGCCTTCCTTACCATTGACTTACAATAGTAATCAGACATTTTATAGGGTATTTGTACTAGTCTCGGAAACCCAGACCTAGGAGCAAGAGCACTAGGTGTTGTGCATCCCATTTCCGACTCGTCCTCTGTCCCAGCTGACGCCAGAACTTCTTCAGACGTGTAAGCTGGAGCATTGGTACATTATGGGAGGCAACCAGTCTGTCTATAGAGACTATACTTGTACTATAAAGTGAAATTATCTATAAATATAAAGGAATGTATTGTTAAGTCAATACACTTGGCCTCCTGTGAGAGTTGGCGTGCTTCCGAAACGATGCCATTGAGGTGGTCATCTCAATAGCAGTTCAGTTAACCACTGGCCTGTTCCTCCTTTTGGTCAGAGTCTTGTGTGTTGTCAGTTTGGCGGGTCATCAGAGTTTGGCTTGTTGGAGTTGTTACAGGTTGTCAGAGTTGGCTTTTTTCCACCAGCCTGTGCCTCAGCGTCCAGTCTCCTGTACTCTGTGTGGAAGAAGATAGCGAAGCAGCAGGTAAAGACACTGCACAGACCTGCCATCACCAGCACGGGCACTGTGGAGAAACACACAGAAAAAGAGTCAATGGTGCGCTAAGCCCATTACCACCAGCAACTAATCACAGTGTGTGTTCTAAAGATAATCACACCGTTAGAGCCACAGGAAAGCCCCAGATCAAAACAATCCAAGCTTGTTCCTCCATATCAATGACATCAAGGCCTGAGAGGATTTCATTATATCATAAACAGAAGTGAGAGCAGCAACTTAACATCCATCATCACTGTGTTTTGGCCTTGGGATGTCTAAAAAGTGGATCTGCTTCCTTTACCAGAGGCATCATGCACGTCACTTCTTTTTGGAAGGGGAAGTAATAGCAAAATTCTATATATTTTTAATGTATACTATGTCACAAACTATAGCTTGTGGGGTCACTTGTCCCCTCAATTTCAATGGGCATGATGCATCTGCTACTAGTATTTTTAGCTGTGGCAAAGCATGTGTGGTTTAAAACGCTGTTTCAATTTCAGCCAAAATGTTGTCTAAACTGCTAACAAAACAACTAATAGCTGTAATTGCCTGCAGAAATTGAATTAATTTCTCCCTCTGATACATATGGCAGTTCTTGACTTACCCCTCCAACTCAAGGCTGCATCTCCTCCTGCAGAACAGGTAGAGAAGGGCGAGTCGGCCATTTGTTTGGTCAACCCCTGAAGAAGCAGTATATAGATAACTGACTGGATCTGTCTGGGGAACAAAACAAGCACATGCGTATTAACACATAAGCCTGTATTTACAGTCTTGCTCTTCAGTGTGTGTTGTCCTTGTATGAACCAGTATCAGACATATGTACCCTGATATGAAGATGAGGCCGGCTGAGGTGGCCTCTCCAACCGGGTAGGAGCACTCCACAGACAACTCCATGGCAACCGGGTAAATGGAGAAGCCGAAAAAGCCGAATAACGAACAAACAACGGCCACGGCTATTCCCTGGTTCCGCATCTGAGATACCTGGTAGGGGGAAACACATGGGGATGAGAAGGTGTTGTCTACACCACACATACACACAGAACGGGCGGCAGGTAGCTTAGTGGGTAAGTGCGTTGTGCGAAAGGTCGCTGGTTCTAATCCCCGAGCCGACTAGGTGAAAAATCTGTCGACGTGCCCTTAAGCAAGGCACGTAACCCTAATTGCTCCTGTAAGTCGCTCTGGATAAGAGCATCTGCTAAATGACAAAAAAATAAATAAACTGCAAATATATCCTATTTTCTTCCACCTTAGAAGAAAACTGTTTTGTCATCACAGTGCTTCATGAAGTACAAGACTGATAACCCTGACCTTTGACCCAGGCTCACCACTGAAAAGGCAATGCAGGCCAGTGCTGAAAGGCACATGTTAACCTTGGTGGCCTCTGTGAACTTCTTGGTTTTGTCAACGTACAGTCCCAGGAAACCAGCCCCGACAATACCGAACACAATGAAGAGACCCCCGCACAGTCCTGCAAAGTCCTAACACAACACACATTAAGGTTATGTTTCACATTGTTTCATTCGTTATTTTGGCGAGATGGTGAAAATATTGTTCAGAAAACAATCGTGGGCCATAATCTCATTCATTCTTTTGCAATGAAAAACTAATCTTGTTGGTAATTTGGGATCATAAGTGGGTGCTTACATTAGTGTATCCTCGGACACACATGATCTGCTCCAGCAGTGTAGAGAAGCAGGTGAACACAGCGATCCCCGAGCCGAAGCACAGCAGGAGAATCATGTAAGCCTTGTTCTTCAGCAACTACAAAGGAACAGGAGGCAGACTGGGGGTTAGAGATGCTCCTGTTATAGGATTGCAGTCAGGGATCATTCAATGCAAGATGTAGGCCACTACCCCTCTCAAATGTAGTATGATTAAAACTGAACCTATGTATAATGAGGAGTGAATGTGGAAATGTTGAGGGGTAACCAAAGATATTATCAAGTAGTACAGTATTGTCATTGTGTGCGTATGACTACTACTCACTAGCTTGATTCCCCCCAGGAAGGGCTCTGAGTTGGAGCTTTCTGCACTGGCTGAGGGGGGCGTTGGGGGGGCACTATCACGGATCCCCACTGTTGCGAGGAAACAGATGATGGCTGCTGGTACAGCATATATGAACAGCTGGGAAGATCAGTGGATGAGGAAAAAGTTTGTAATAGATTGATAAATGTATTGGTAATTTAAAGTCAAAGGCAATTTATCTTCATATGGTGCTAGCTAAACATTCTCCTTTTTCTTAGCTCACCAATGAAGGGATGTTGTTGGTGGTCCCCACAATCATAGGGGAAAAGATGCTAGCAACAAGAATCCCAAGGGGATTTGCTGAAAGGAGAAAAAGAAAAATGCCACCGAATATATTTTAAAATAGGCCGGCATGGTATTGTCCTGTATTTGAAGCCAACACTACCAGACATCTGACATTCTATTCCTACTTTCAGGAATCTCAGTTCCTGTAACTGAAAAATCAAAAAACCCAAGAGGAGCAACTGACAATACTAAACAAGTGGTAACTTGACCAATAATGTTCGACTTGACACAGGTGGTTTTAACAGAGTAACTTGAGGCCTGATGGGAAAAATAGTCCTGTACAGGACAGCAACCGTAACTCACTCACACATGGAGGCTATCATATTGGCGGTGGCCCGCTGGTGCTCTGGGAACCAGAGCGCTGCCAGCTTGGTGGGGGTGAAAATTACCAGGGGCTGAGCCAGGGCACACAGGGTTTGGCCCCCCATCACCACGGGGAATTTGGCCGCACTGGGAATGCTCCCCAGGACGCCCACGAAACGCAGCACAGCGCCCAACATGTTGAGCCAGGAACCCAGCACCAGCTACATGGGAAACAGGCAAGGGAGGGAACAGAATGCATGATTCAACACCAGTTCGCATTGGCTTTGTACGTGTTTTTCCTCAATTGGAAGAAAGGACAAAAGACAAATTAAACATGATACACTTGTGTGGATATTTGTTTACGTTATCTTATGATATCATTCATTCTCTTAACATATATTTTACTTTTTGTTCTACCTATCATGTTTTATCTCCTCTGTGCAGGTGCAAACTTGTACAACTGCTTAAAAAAAGTGCCATCTGCACGTGGCGGCTTCCTCTATCACTGACAGCAGACTTCCTATCCAAAGCACGCACACACGCTTACTTTCTTACTATCTGAAATGTTTCTGACTCAAACATTCACACTTCACTAAATTTCCCACATACACCTCTTTCATGGATATCTTGAAGGCAACAAACTTTCATTTCAAGTACTGGATATTGACTCTCCTCACAGTAGACAGATTCTGTTTTCAGAAACAGACACGTGTGTGCACAGACTTGTAAACCAAGACCAAGGCAGGTCTAATGGTCTGTTTTATTTATTTGACCTTTATTTATCCACGAAGTCCCATTGAGGTCAGGAGACCTCTTTTACAAGGGAGACCTGTGTGGGTTCTACCTTGACCAGTCTGTACATACCGTGATTCGGAGCCCTAAGGTGTCCAGCATCCATGTGGTCCCAAAGCTGAGAGGTATGGCTACCACCATGTAGATGATGGACAGCCAGTTGATCTGGTCCAGGGTGATACCCATGAACTGGGCTGACTGGTCCGCCACTGGAGCAAAGGTCAGCCATAACTGGGGATACAAGCACAGGCACAAACACATTTAGGATAATTTGATAACATACAATAAATGGGTTATTACATGATCTAATCTACATATTTCTTTAGTGCTGCTTGTACACACATCTGTTCTTCATTTCCTCAATCGTTCTATCTGTCCAAAGTTACAATGCAGAGGGCATACTGTCGGGCTGCACCACAGCCTGGTACGGCAACTCCACCGCCGCTGACCGCAAAGCTCTACAGAGGGTGGTACATTCAACCGAACGCACCATTGGGTGCACACTGCCTGCCCTCCAGGACATCTACAACACCAGGTATCGCAAGAAGGCCAAGAAGATCATCAGGGACCTCAGCCACCCGAGCCACAGCCTGATCTCCCTGCTTCCATCACTCAGACGCCGGCAGTATAGGACCATCATGGTCAAAACTGTCAGACTGGCCAATTGCTCCAGTGGCGGACCAGTCAGCCCAGTTCATTGGTGTCACCCTGGACCAAATCAACTGGCTGCCCATCATCTACATGGTGGAGGCCATACTTTCTACCCCCAGACCATCAGGCTGCTGAATAGCCACCACTTGTCAGCTACCTGCTACAGTATATTCTTATTACTACAATTGCTCAGAGAAAGAGATTTAGTTAAAAAATCTCAAAAAGGTAAGGATCAAAACTATTGACACCCCTGTTTTCAATACCTCTGACCAAAGCACCGGTTCCAATCCAAATGCCAATGCCGTTTAGCAAACTCCAGGGGTTTACATTTGTTGGATGACATGAAAATAGAGCTATTTGGCCACTCAAACCAGTTATCCTCGCAAGGTGAGGTATTGAAAGGTATTGAAAACAGGGATGTCAATCATTTAGACCCCTAACTTTTTGAGAAAAAAAAGTAATACTTGTTTAACAAAATCTCTTTCTCTGAGCAAGTATTAGTATAAAATAACATAATTTCTCCATTTTTGAGCATACAACATAGCTTAGTATATTTTTTATTATTTATACAGTCATTTTTACCCATCTTTATCAAGGGTGTCAATGATTTTGGATCCCATTGTATGTGATAATGTCATTAAAAGATACATCACTGAGCAGGAAGTAAATCACAGCCTTTCCTTGTGGAACGCCAAGTCACGTGAAAACAGAAGTTATGACTCACAAGGCTTTTGCACATGACCCAGCTTTATGCTGATCTAATCAAATCAGTGGCTACTATAAAGCGTTTACATAGGCCTATTTATATTGGCATTCACTGGTCAAAACGAACATGGAGAATTCCTATACTGAGAAGTGAGACCAACCATCCCAGCCAAATGAAGAGTGACAGGCCTATACAACCATAGCAGGTTAACCATATACAGTTTGACCCCTGTGCCTTCTCTTTCAAATATAACTTTTTTTTTTACTTTAAAGAGGACCAAATAAAACTCTCCTGCATTTCAACTTGAATAACTGAGGTTTTCTGGGGAAAACCAAAGCGTGCCATTGAGTGATTGTGTGACAGTACACAATACACAGTGCCTTGACAAGAGGCATAACCAATTGGATGGAAGTGAATTGTTCGCAGACACTGCAACAACAAAAAGGGACTCTGTACAATTCTCTCTTTTGTTGACATTCAAGAAAATCACATTTATGCAGCCGAGATGAAGGAGTAGGTCAGCTGACACGGGCACACAATGCCACCACTGTCTGCTGCATATGTGAGCACAGCATTCCACTGTAGGTTTCCACCTTTGTCGTTACATATAACCTCTATGAATGGATGTAGAATTCAAAGTGTCCTCAATCCATATACTGTATAGATGGTAGTACATACAAGTATAGCGTAATTACAGTGTGGGTTAAAGTAATTATATATATTTTTTTTACATCTGTTTCTTAGATTCTAACTTACAATGAGGAACATGTTCTGTAATGATGCACGGAAACAACTCTGTTGACATGACAGATAATAAGATGGAATGTTGATTTGGTCCTCATCATGTATGGTTTTAGGGGGTATTTGCCCTAAGGCACACATCCCCTATTAAATCACTATGACTCAGGAAAGCGTGCAGTTTATTAGGCTAAAGATCAAATAAGTTACGATGAACTTCACAGGATGGTGGTGAAAGTTTACAATGATGAGTTTGATGCTCCTTGTCATAGCAACGTTGGATAGCAAAGCTCATGCGTAGAAACACGTCATCGGGTCTAATGTCTCGATCACACCGACAGCGTTTTTGCATTTCGGTACACCAGAAGTACATTCATTTCCAATGGAACACTGCGTTTGCCTTGCAGCATTGCATTGGAGAGGCAGATGCAGTGCGTTCTGTGTGGTGCATATGTTGGATTTATCGGCAGGTAGCTTAGTGGTTAAGAGCGTTGTGCCAGTAACCGAAAGGTCGCTGGTTCTAATCCCCTAGCCGACTAGGTGAAAAATCTGTCGATGTGCCCTTGAGCAAGGCACTTAACCCTAATTGCTCATGTAAGTCGCTCTGGATAAGAGCGTCTGCTAAATGACTAAAATGTAAATGTAGACGGCTTGACAGAGATTGACTTCTTGGCGCTGACGAAAACATGGATTACCACAGAAAACACTGCTACTCCTACTTCTCTTTCCTCATCTGATCATGTGTTCTCGCATACCCCGAGAGCATCTGGTCAGCGCGGCGGTGGCACAGAAATCCTCATCTCTCCCAAGTGGACATTCTCTCTTTTCCTCCTGACCCATCTGTCTATCTCCTCATTTGAATTCCATGCTGTCACAGTCACTAGCCCATTCAAGCTTAATCCTTATCATTTATCGCCCTCCAGGTTCCCTTGGAGAGTTCATCAATGAGCTTGACGCTTTGATAAGTTCCTTTCCTGAGGATGGCTCACCCCTCACAGTTCTGGGTGACTTTAACCTCCCTACGTCTGCCTTTGACTCATTTCTCTCTGCCTCCTTCTTTCCACTCTTTTCCTCTTTTGACCTCACCCTCTCACCGTCCCCCCCTACTCACAAGGCAGGCAATACGCTTGACCTCATCTTTACTAGATGCTGTTCTTCTACTAATCTCACTGCAATTCCCCTCCAAGTCTCCGACCACTACTTTGTATCCTTTTCTCTCTCGCTCTCCTCCAACACTACTAACTCTGCCCCTACTCAGATGGTAATGTGCCGTCGCAACCTTCGCTCTCTCTCTCCTGCTACTCTCTCCTCTTCCATCCTATCATCTCTTTCCTCTGCTAAATCCTTCTCCCTCCGAACTCCTGATTCTGCCTCCTCAACCCTCCTCTCCTCCCTTTCTGCATCTTTTGACTCTCTATGTCCCCTATCCTCCCGGCCGGCTCGGTCCTCCCCTCCTGCTCCGTGGCTTGACGACTCATTGCGAGCTCACAGAACAGGGCTCCGGAAATTGAGGAAAACTAGACTCCCTACGGACCTGTCATCTTTTCACTCCCTTCTCTCTACATTCTCTTCCTCTGTTTCTGCTGCTAAAGCTACTTTCTACCACTCTAAATTTCAAGCCTCTGCCTCTAACCCTAGGAAGCTCTTTGCCACCTTCTCCTCCCTGCTGAATCCTCCTTCTCCTCCCCCTCCCTCCTCCCTCTCTGTGGATGACTTCGTCAACCATTTTGAAAAGAAGGTTGACGACATCCGATCCTCATTTATTAAGTCGACACCGCTGGTCCTGCTCACACTGCCCTACCCTATGCTTTGACTTCTTTCTCCCCTCTCTCTCCAGATGAAATCTTGCGACTTGTGACGACCGGCCGCCCAACAACCTGCCCGCTTGACCCTATCCCCTCCTCTCTTCTCCAGACCATTTCCGGAGACCTTCTCCCTTACCTCACCTCGCTCATCAACTTATCCTTGACCGCTGGCCATGTCCCTTCTGTCTTCAAGAGAGCGAGAGTTGCACCCCTCCTCAAAAAACCTACACTCGATCCCTCCGATGTCAACAACTACAGACCAGTATCCCTTCTTTCTTTTCTCTCCAAAACTCTTGAGCGTGCCATCTCTAGCCAACTCTCCTGCTATCTCTCTCAGAATGACCTTCTTGATCCAAACCAGTCAGGTTTCAAGACTGGTCATTCAACTGAGACTGCTCTTCTCTTTGTCACGGAGGCTCTCCGCACTGCTAAAGCTAACTCTCTCTCCTCTGCTCTTATCCTTCTAGAATAAGAGCCATCAGATCCTCCTCTCCACCCTTCCCCGGGAGTTGGGCATCTCCGGCGCTGCTCACTCTTGGATTGCGTCCTACCTGACTGGTTGCTCCTACCAGGTGGCGTGGCGAGAATCTGTCTCCGCACCACGTGCTCTCACCACTGGTGTCCCCCAGGGCTCAGTTCTAGGCAATCTCCTAATCTCTCTATACACCAAGTCACTTGGCTCTGTCATATCCTCACATGGTCTCTCCTATCATTGCTACGCAGATGACACACAATGAATTCTCACTTTTCCCCCTTCTGATAACCAGGTGGTTAATGGTTAATGTTAACTAGCTAATGTTTCCCATGAATGGAAGTTAGGCTAGCAAGCAAGCTTTTTAGCCAGGGACAACAAAAAATAAAAGTGTGTACTGTATGACAGAGTGATAGACTGTTTCCTCAACATGAAAGAGAGGAGGATGGCATTAGCGTTTCTCTACAGGTAGTGTGAGTCAACATGTTTTTCTACTTGCACGAACGTGGACGGACACACACACACACACACACACACACACAAATGAGAACCATGGACAGCCACATCATATTTAGCTTACGTTGATTGGACTAAATTGTTTTTGGTATCTTTTAGTTGTCACTGTATTAGACTAAGCAGAGGTGATCTGATGATGTTGAAATGTTGAAGTTGAAATGGTGCTGGAATAGTGGAGGCAGCTCCTGTTTTTTTTGCGACTTGTGGTAACTCTCTGTGGTTCTAAATCAATAGTTGTTTAGTGGTCCAAAAGTGTCGGAAACATGAACTTGCTTGACCATGCTGTAGGTCATGTAACTGTCTGTTACCGTACATGCAAAAAAAAAAAGGTGTGGTTGAATTGATTCTGCCACAGTGTCTTCTTATTGTCTCGGCCTTTAGGCCTATATATCACGTTCGCAGGGCATATATGGCTTGGCTTCCCCAGTGATTTTACCCACACACCGCGACTGGTTCTGTGTGGTGCATACGTTAGATTTAGGTGTAACGCTTTGAACACACCGACTGCGTTTTTGCGTTTTGGTACACCAGAAGTATATTAATTTCCAATAGAACGCTGCGTTTGCCTTGCAGCATTGCGTTGCAGAGGCAGTTGTAGTGTATTCTGTGTGGTGCATACGTTGAATTTATCGAACGTATGCGTCAAACTGTATGCGTAAACGGGGTGACAGAAATGGTAGCAGAAGATGAATGTTGAACTTTTGTTGCACACATATCTAGATGATGCTGCATACTATTTTATGCAATGACGCAGTCGGTGTGTTCAAAGTGTCAAGCAGTCTACGCATACAGTTTGACGCATACATTCGATAAATCCAATGTATGCACCACACAGAACATACTGCAACTGCCTCTGCAATGTTGCAAGGCAAATGCAGCGTTCCATTGGAAATGAATGTACTTCTGGTATACCGAAATGCAATGACACTGTCGGTGTGATCCAGGCATAACGGTTGTCTCGGGCCGAACTGTACATGTGCAGGCCTTCAAATCAAAGGCACTCCTTCGATATAAAGTTGTTTTTGACGAAAATGAAAACGTTTCAGTGTCACTTTCACGAGGTTGGAGTAATAACATGTTCAGCTACTTAATACATTGGCTAGAATCTACGTTATGCCTTTAGATTTCGATAAAATTAACAACCAAGGAAGAATTGTTGACTTCTTTCATTGACTTCCCAAACCCTGGCCAGGTCTGTTTGGTCTGTTTCTCAAGCGTTCCCAGAAGTCTTGCGATGTTGCGCCTCTCGGTTTAAAAACTCTGTGGAGCAGTCCTCCACAGAATGAATGGAATTCTACAGTATTTCAATTAAACGTTTCAATGCCAAAATGACATGTATTTACGTTTTTTTTTTTTTTTTTTTTGTGGGGACAGTAATATTAGTACTTTCTAAAAATGATACTTGAAGGAAAATATTTGTATATATTTTATTTTTATGTTTAGCTCACATAATAGAATTTAAAAGTATGTATTAATGTGTCTGTAATAGAATTTGGCTTCTAAAATATGTTTTACGATGGGGAGGGAGTGCCAAGCTGGAGGCACGGTGGCTTCAAAACAGCACCCCCTGTCAGTCATCTAGTGTATATATAAATCATTGGTCATCACGCACTGCTTTTTATCAGCAAGTCAGTTTGGTGGAAACACCACTGGTGGGAAAATATGCATATTTTCTTTATACGGATTTGAGAATATTCGCATGAAAATCTGTCGCGAATTGGATGGAAACCTAGCTACAGAGATGTTACATTGCTACAAAAAGTTAAAAAATCACATAATTCATTCCTTGACAGATAACAGCCAACTTCATATGTGAGACAGCAAATGACAAGTAGGCTGGCTGCTTACCATAGAGTTCGAGCAATTCAGCAAGCACAGCACGAACAAAATGAACCATCTCCTCTTGTATACTTTGAATACAAGAAGTTTTTCGAGTATTGGATTGGGTTTACTCCGAACGACAACATCCGAGATATTATCTTCATTTTCCATGAGTAGTATCCAGCCAGATGCAATAGACTTTAAAATGTTTTTAAATAAATCTCAAACGAGCATATTGTTAAAGGGTTGTGTGGATTTAAAACGCTTATTATAAACATACATTGTCTTGTCCTTCTGAAAAAGAAACCCAACCGGCCGGTCTGGTCCAATATTTCGGTGAGGACAATAAGGATACTGTATAGTCATTCAGATTCCCCTCCCTTTTTCCCGTCCTACAAATTGAGTCCTAGTGCTAGTCGAATTCAATGCTCATTCGGCTTTGGAGCGCTACGGGGATATGCAGTTTGCTGTTCTAGCCCAGCACTAACACACCTAATTCTATTATTCAAGTGTTCAATTATTATAAGCTACACAATTCATGTTCATGCTGAATTTGAGGAGTTACCATCAGATAAAGGATATGAGATCAACATGATAGGCTGTCACATGTGGATTGTTTATGTCAATGTCAGTGGAGCCTGCTGAGGGGAGGACGGTTCATAATAATGGCTGGAACAGAGCGAATGCAATGGAATCAAACACATAGAAACTATGTGTTTGATACCATTCCACTAATTCCGCTCCAGCCATTACCACAAGCCCGTCCTCCCCAATTAAGGTGCCACCAACCTCCTGTGGTCAATGTGTAGGGCAGGCATCTTGAAGTGGCTTGTCAGGGTTGCACAATTGATTACTTGAAACTTTTCATTTTGGTGCTCGCTCTTTCATGTGAAGGATGTGTGGAGGCCTACCTGTGAACTGTCCACCCCAAATTCAGTGATGCAACATGTTTCTCCAGTCCAACATATTGAAAAAGCAAATATTGTGCCATTGATTAGGTTTGACCTGGAGTTTGACCTACAGGTGTAGGATCTTAATTTGACCAGTATTTTCGTAACATAATCATCGTGCAGCAACAGGATTTGAATGTTTAGTCCATAATGTTGCTTGATCTGTGGTTAGGCTATTAGCTGGACAAAATTAGGCTACATGAAAAGTGCAATAATGTTATTATAAGCGTGTGTTACTGCTGGTTTTCAGTGTATGTGGACACCCCTTCAAATTAGTGGATTCGGCTATTTCAGCCACACCTGTTGCTGACAGGTGTATAAAATCGAGCACACAGCCATGCAATCTCCATAGACATACATTGGCAGTAGAATGGCCTTACTAAAGAGCTCAGTGACTTTCAATGTGGCACCGTCATAGAATGCCACCTTTCCAACAAGTCAGTTTGTCAAATGTCTGCCCTGCTAGAGCTGCCCCGGTCAACTGTAAGTGCTGTTATTGTGAAGTGGAAACATCTAGGAGCAACAACGGCTCAGTCGCGAAGTGGTAGGCCACACAAGCTCACAGAACGGGACCGCCGAGTGCTGAAGCGTGTAGTGCCTAAAAATTGTCTGTCCTTGGTTGCAACACTCACTACCGAGTTCCAAACTGCCTCTGGAAGCAACGTCAGCACAATAACTGTTCATTGGGAGCTTCATGAAAAGGGTTGCCATGGCTGAGCATGCGCAATGCCAAGTGTCGGTTGGAGTGGTGTTAAGCTTGCTGTCATTGGACTCTGGAACAGTGGAAACGCGTTCTCTAAAGTGATGAATCACGCTTCATCATCTGGCAGTCCGACGGACGAATCTGGGTTTGGCAGATGCCAGGAGAACGCCACCTGCCCCAATGCATAGTGCCAACTGTAAAGTTTGGTGGAGGAGGAATAATGGTCTGGGGCTGTTTTTCATGGTTCGGCTAGGCCCCTTAGTTCCAGTGAAGGGAAATCAACGCAACAGCATACAACGACATTCTAGATGATTCTGTGCTTCCAACTTTGTGGCAACAGTTTTGGGAAGGCGCTTTCCTGTTTCAGCATGTCAATGCCCCCATGCACAAAGCGAGGTCCATACAGAAATGGTTTGTTGAGATCGGTGTGGAAGAACTTGACTGGCCTGCACAGAGCCCTGACCTCAACCTCATTGAACACCTTTTGAATGAATTGGAACGCCGACTGTGAGTCAGGCCTAATCGCCCAACATCAGTGCCCGACCTCACTAATGCTCTTGTCGCTGAATGGAAGAAAGTCCCCGCAGCAATGTTCCAACATTTAGTGGAAAGCCTTCCCAGAAGATTGGAGGCTGTTAAAGCAGCAAATGGGGGACCAACTCCATATTAATGCCCATGATTTTGGAATGAGATGTTCGACGAGCAGGTGTCCACATACTTTTGGTCATGTAGTGTAAATCACGACACTCATCTGAAGGGCAGGAAAATTCTCAGAGTGATCAAATTAAGATCCTATACTTGTACTTTGAAACTCAATTCATTGAACACATCTCAAACATATTGGAAGTGTGACCTTGTAAGAATGACCCCAGGGCCATTTATAAACACCCTATTACACAGTAATAATAAAAAATCCTAACGTCAAAAATATTGCTCTATTTGTCAACATCAATTCAACATTAGTGTACGTTTTAGCACATAAGCACTTTGACTTTTGAGATCCTACTGTAACCTATAAGCAATGAGCTACATTTCAGGCATCAAATGTAGGTTGACTGTAAGGGCATAATATAAATCTAACATTAGGCCTACAGCAAGATTCTCCTCATGTCTTGCCCAAAAACCAACATTTATTTAATTGTGGTTTTGGTCCCCAATTTTCTAAACCGTTATGTCTGAGTATTGTTTTTTTTCTGAGAGTTTCCCTCTTTAGAATTTCGCGGAATTCTAAAATATATCAAAATGTATCACAATAATTGTTTTTTTTTAATGAATGGGGAGCTCGATACAATGTTGCCTATTCGCCTACTCTCGTTCAAACCCTCCTCCCCCTCGACTAACCCTCCTCCCCCTCGACTAATCAGCGCATGCTCAGCAAAGCTCCAAGTGGTGTTTCGGCCTGTTTCGGGATTGGCCGGACATTTTCGCCTCTTTGTTTTACTGATAGTGGATTTAAATCGGATTCAACCCAATGTCCAGCGGACTGTACTGTTCCTAAACAGGTTAGTTCGTTTGACTTGAAAGATTTTAGGCGTATTAACGCATTAATGCGTCTATTGGTGATTTATGGATGCGATTTGTATTGTTCTTATTCATTTTTGTCTGTGTCTTTTCCGCTTGGTGGTATGGGCATGCTATACGTGTTGTTTTATGTGCCTATGTGGTAGTGTATGGCGGCGCCGGGCCCTGCAGTTAGACACCAGGATCCTTTTCAAGGAAAAGTGCATTAGAAGGGAGGGTGTGGATAGCAGTGAAGCACTCTTTTTGTTCTATACGACGGGAGCTCTCGTAGACGCTCACATGTCTCCCATAATGTGTGTGTTGTTTGGAGCGACAAACCAATCTTTCCCATTGCCTGGAATGTTCTTGAAAAACCATGGTCCACCATTAACCCCTTCGGGCTTCGAAAGTTCGGTGTTAATGCACGAGGGTGTAGTTGTAGCCACCTGATTAAATCTAGACAAAAGAAAGTTCATGCTCTTTAGGGGCTATTTCGCCCCCGTCTAACTGTATGGAACTGTGACATTGTGGGATTTTGGTGAAGGATCGAGCCAACAAGTCTCCCTCTTTTGGTAGCTAGATTGATGTTTTGTAATAAGGGACAGCAATATGTCAATTGCTCTGAGGGACAAGCCACAATAGCCAAGTGGCTATAACAAGGTAAACATCGGTGGGTTTTCCTGGATTCAGCATATATAGGGATTCAATGGTTTATCACTGTTTTATAATAACACAAGGCAGATCACAAAGGCAGGCGGGCAAAAAAATCCTCAACTTTCATTGTAGAATTAACTACTTTGCATATTACTAGCCAATATGCTCTATGTTACTTAACCTGTAAATCATAAATCTATCTCAACACGAACAGCTTCTTCATTCCTGGTTGACATAGGTTATGCAAATCAGGGAAGAATTGCAGAGAGCCATTCATTGGCTATGTTGAGTGTTGTTGGTCAGGATCTCTAGTCTACTCAATCAATGAGACAGTATCATTAGAGCAATAAAGAAAGCTGTATGTCTTCTCATAACAGCCATTGTTATGAACAGGCTTTTCTAACAAATCCACTCACACTTTACAAAGAAACACAGTAGCCATACAAAAATTCCACATTAAGGTGTTGATTGCCCCTCGACAGTGGTCTAACTACTGGCCATTAGGCTACAGCTTTGTGTTGTTCTCTCTGTCCATGATGCTATGGCTAGTATGTCCAGCAGTGTATATAATAGTCCATATGTAAAGTTGCTCTTATACCCGTGGTAACGGTGTAATTAGCCTACTATGACATCAATCTTGTTGTTACATTGTAGTTATTACATTGTAATGGAGTTGAGTGGTTTTGGTCATTATACAAGGGTCTACCACCTAAATAAATCTTACGGAAATGCCAAAATCCAAATAATTTGGGGAATCCACCAACATTTTGGGATTTGGGTCAATTCCATTCAGTTCCATTCCATACCGCCTTATTTGTCAAGGTGTGTTGACTGTCGTTAATGAGAATCCCAATCAGTGATCAGCAGAGCAAAACAACAGATGAACCAGAAACCAGGCATCACCCCCTTGAACCATATCCCACTACATCCCTTCTTGAAATTATGCCAGCAAGAAAATAGTAACACACAATGTTGTTATAGACCTGATGGGGTGGCAGGTAGCTTAGTGGTTAAGAGCGTTGTGGCAGTAACCGAAAGGTCGCTGGTTCTAATCCCTGAGCCGACTAGGTGAAAAATCTGTCGATGTGCCCCAAGGCACTTAACCCTAATTGCTCCTGTAAATCGCTCTGGATAAGAGCGTCTGCTAAAATATAAATGTGAAATGTGAATGTACAAGGCCTATTCATTTTGAGAATAAGACCAGACCTACTGTGTTGGCCTGTCACTTTTTCTACACTCATGAGGGGATTAGGATTACACCCGTAGAGGGGATTAGGATTACACCCGTAGAGGGAAGTAGGTCCTAACTGTAACAGTTTACTTCCCTGACTGTTGCTGTTGTATGTCAACATTAGACGATACCAATATCTCGGTACTCGTTAGTATCGTGGCAAGGAAACAAAACACAAAGCGGATTTAACTTCTTTAGGAAAACAACCCTAATGTTGAAAACAAACATCAATATGTTGTCATCCAGTGTCACATTTATTTATTTTCCAAGTTAAAGCACACTATTTTATATCC